ATAAACGAATGAAAATAGAGTTCAGTCATTTTCCTTTTTAATTGAATATCGAAAATGTAACAATATGAAATGCTATTATTAATTCACAATAAATAATTATATACGTTATTATGTTGTGTCCACCAGACCACCACTACTATTGGGGAAACCAACGGCTCCACCACCCAACCCAATCTTCAATGCGCGGCCGGTGAAAATAAATTATATAATAAATATTAATAATTATTTTGAAACCCTCTAGTTGCCTTGAGACCCGGTGCAAAAATACCATTTTCGAAAAGTCCCACTCCGCACACTGCTCAAAGCCCTTGAAACCGACGAGATTTTTGCTTTCATTTGAACTAGTGTAAAGCCCGGCCCATTGGCTGGGTAGCGTTCTCATATCATTATGTCAATTGTTGGTAATTGTCTCGTTAGCTAGAATTATTATAAATTCTTATTTTCTTTTGCTTTCTTTTACCCCCCCCCAAAAAACCTACCCTGCCCTCTTACTTACTTAAATAATTTTATTTCTTTTTCTTAAGCCGCTAGAAATAAAAAGCAAATTCAACGGGCTAAGTTAGAGAGTTGGAGCAACAATAAACAATCACATCAACAATTTTCTTCACATCCCACATACAAAATATAGTGAAAACAATGAGTGAAATCTCAGAGCTCAAGGCAAAGGTCTAAAGTCTGGTCTATGGGCTTCTAAGTCCAGTCCAGGTGGTCCATGATTAAATATCGACCCCATTGGCAAATAGTCAAAATTGCAGTGGGTGGTTGATTGATGTGGGTGGATTGCATATTATAAATTTCATACTTGCACTTACTCGGGTATGCGGATTGCGGGTCACATGAATTACCTGCAGTATATTTTTACATAACGAAAATTATTTCTTGTTTATACTATCGAATATTCATTATATTTTCTAATCACACTACACACTAGTCATCGGCCAACTGCAAGTCTTACCAAAAGCGTCGATGACAACCCACTAGCTCTTTCCAGGACAATAATTGACTAATTAATTTTTTAATAAATAAACAGGTTGCAACATGCTTAAGGGAAAAACCATGGTTAAGGGAAAAAGAGTGCAGCGCGTATATGCTCCCCCTCATGACAACATCAAAATGTAGTTTTGTGAACATAACTTTCAAATATAGTCATGGTAAGTTTCTTAGTGAACAAATCTTCTAGATTGTCACTTTATGCATGATCTATTATGACCATTTTCTTCAAACATGATGTTCACGATCATTTTCTATGAAATTAGTCCACAACCTTAGGTCATTTAGACGTGTTGAATCACAAATTTTAACCAAAAAAATTCATAACATGTCTCATGAATGCTAACCATTGTGCATGATCTGATGATACAACATTTTTTATTTGTTTAGAATCTCCATGAGATAGTTGTACGACCAAATAACTCATTTTTAATAATCATTGGATCTGTTGAGATTTTATAAAAGTGAATAATCGTCATACGAATCGTGTTGATCATATACTTGAGATTTCATATTATTCACACTCCCCATGTGATGTGTGCCTATAAATAGATGATATCCTTGTACTAAGGAACACATGAATAAGAAAGCTCTATTCCCTCTCTCTTCTTGTGTCCTACTTTTACTCTTGTGTCTATTGCTCTTCCTTGCTATTTTATAATACGTTATCTGGACGAAACTCTGCCAAAGTCATGGTTGGTCATTTTCTCTTTACATTATCAAATATACTTGAGTAAGCTCACAACATGATCAAGGTATGCAAATTTTCATGTCATTTCTTGTTAGTATGTTTATCTATCTCATTGTCTTTGAGAGATTATTTGATCTTGTTATTTGTTCATATTATTTTATGAACTTATCTTATATATATACCGATCTTGTATCATAGAGTTTGTGTTTGGACATTATTAGATAATGAAAATTGCTCCTGTAGTAGCAAAAATAGTATGGGTTGACTTATTGATTACTACATTTGACATATAAAGAAATGATTATAAATGAGGATGACACAATAATTCATGTAGCAATGTGTGATGAAACTTCGTGTGTCGAAATGTGTAATGAAACACATATATGATGATGATGTTGTTGTTGTTATTATTATTATTATTATTATTTTGTATGCTTTTGTATAGAATGAATATTCACAAAAGTCAATACTGGTATTATATCATATATTATGAAAGTAAGGAAAAGCTATGGAAGATATTGTGTTTTGTTACTTGAAGTAACTAAACAATATATTGATGATAAAATAGTGTGAAAATATTCTTATCACTATGGATATGTGCTCAAAATAATTCACCAAATCGGAAAGTGCATAATGGTCAAAATGTAGTACAAGAGTATGTGAGTGCTCCAGAAGAGTTAATGTTTTGAGCCGTGAAGGAACTAAACTGTCAGTTGAAAATGCATTACATAATTATGAAGATATTCCCAGAAATGGATATCATAATTGATATTGCATCAGAAATGTGTTCTAAAAGAACATATACTTAACTGGAGAAATTTGTACTACATGTATATTAGTACATATGAAAGTGTAAACTAGAAGTTTACAAGATCGGATAACTATTATTTAGGTATGTCTGGTCATACCATCCCGGATACAGATGCGAAAAATGATTGATATATCATAAGGAAATTAAGTGAGAGTTTAGAGAATTCATCAATCAAATGATTGATTTTGTGATACATGCTCTCGAGGAGAATATACTCACTTGTGAAAATCATTGAATCTGTTGAGATTTTATAAAAGTGTATGCACAAAAATACATTCATCGTGCTGATAACGTGTTATAAAATAGCAAGGAAGAGCAATAGACACAAGAGTAAAAGTAGGAAACTAGAAGAGAGGGGGAATAGAGCTTTCTTATTCATGTGTTTTTTTAGTACAAGGATGTCATCTATTTATAGGCACACATCACAAAACCTCTACATTCTTATAATTAATATACATGAATGTGAGAATGAATGTGAAATGGGGTGGGGAGTTACATGTAACACCCAATTGTACATTTAATGTGGTGGTCATCCATATAAATATTTACATAATACGTCAAAATGTAGGGTTTCATTTAGTTATTATACTCACCCGCTACAAAAATTAATAATGTTCATATGGTCTCGACTCTCGGATAAAGTTTTTAGTTGAAGACAATGTACAAACTTTGACATTCATGATCTTTTGGTGATGATTTCTTGGTTAATGCATTCCAATTTAGCTAGCTTGTGGACTTTTACTTTTATGATTGGGTTTTAATAATAAAAACATTGCTCCTTCGCTTACATAAAAACTAAATTGGATAGTTTTTCTTATATGAATGTTGGACGTTTTTCAAAATGAAGCACACAAAAATTTATTTGACTTCATATGCACCTCATTATTGATTCTTGCTAGAGATTTCTTGAATTCTCTACCTATTCTTCTCCTAAGTATCTTCCAAGTAAATTGGAAGTCTCTTATAGCAAAACTTTGATAATAGCCATAATAGTTCCAACACTATGTAGCACCTACATATCATATTTGGTTAGTATGTAAGAATTTTGTTCAATGACTTCTTCCTATATCTTCATGGGTTAATGTTTTTTTTTTAATGAAAAATTCGACCTAATATCACTGCTTAGGATGCGTAAAAAGTTTGTGGAATTGTGGTGGTTCGAGAAACATAGTTTCCAAAATTACGATTGATTTGGGAGAAAAAAATATTGTAAAGAGTGACGAATGGCAACGACTATAGTATTTTTGACGGTACATGTGCATAAACTTTTGAACCTTATATATAAGGTAAATAAATTATAGTCAGTGACTCCATCCTTCACTTTAACTAAAATATTGGCTGGTTCCTTTTTATCATGAAAATTTTAAGTAGGAGTTGAAAAGAAAGATCATTTCCCCCCTCAAAGGCAAATTCTGCAATTCGTATCCCCATTGTCAGCGTGACATGGTAAATGGAGATGCGAGTTTCGGCTTGGAGGGAATAAAAAGAAAAAGGGTTAATACCTTATTTTGGCCCGAATTATGACCATATAATCAACTTTGGCCAGTGGTTTCAGAAATTAACATCCTGGCCTCAACTATGCAACATATAGACTCAATTGGCCCGACACATAGTTTGACCGTCAATTTGGACGGTCAACTCCGTTGACCGTTAGTCAACACGCCATGTCATTGCCTAGTCAGCCTAAAAATCATTAAAAAAATTATTTATTATCAAATTAACCAAAAATAAATTATAAAAAACATAAAATAAATTTATTTTTTTATTTTAGGATAATTTGAAAATGATAAATTATATAAATTAACCAAAAATTATCAAATTATTTTATATTTTTAAAACTTCCCAAAAAAATATAATTTATATAATAATTTTTAAATTTATGAAATTTAATTTGATAATTTTGGTTAATTTATAAAATTTAGCATTTTCAAATATCCCAAAGAAAATTATTTTATATTTTTAGAATTTTATTTTTTGGTTAATTGAAAAATGATAAATAATAGAAATTAGAAAAATAGTTTGAATTTTTTAATGATTTATATGCTAACTAGGCATTGACATGACATGTTGACTAACGGTCAACAGAGTTGACCGTCCAAATTGACAGTCAAACTATGTGTCGTGCCAATTGAGTCTATATGCTGCATAGTTGAGGCCAGGATGTTAATTTCTGAAACCACTGGCCAAAGTTGATTATATGGTTATAGTTCGGGCCAAAATAAGGTATTAACCCAAAGAAAAAAGACAATTTCATTGGTTATCGACGTAGTCGTTTTAGATGGATGGAAGATGGAATGGATGTAACATATGTATTCTACCGGATGAAAAATTAAGATAGCATTTTCCTAGAGCTCTCTTGTTTTTTTAATTTTAATTTATCATTATTTAGCAATTTTAGAGTACACTTTCGTCTGGAAAAAAGTGGTACTTGCAAATCTCTATATCAAAGTAGGGATTCCGGTAATTTCATGAGAAACACAAAAATATCTATCGCTTTCTTCTATATACCTAATTTTTGTTGAATATCTGGATTTCTTTCCACCGCGACTCCATATAGCTGGACATATCCTTCTGAGCGTAAACTCCACACTTGAAGTAATGAGAGCTCCCTCCATGATCCGCTCCTTCATAAACAAGAGCTCCGTCAACGTGAACGAAAACTTTCCCGGCTCCGACGTCGTGAATCACGTTCAGCCTAAACCATCTGTCGGAGATGCCGGGCACGATGACGGTGCTGTAGGCGGTGAGGTTACCGCCGTGAACTCGAACGGCCAGGGTCGTCGACTGATTGCTAGCTCCGAACACTTGCGTTATGCAGACGCCGGAAGTGCCGCTCGGCACGTATGCTTGTCCTTCAAACTGCCACACTCCCGACGAGTAATCGTGTCCCTGCAATATGACGACGCGCTCGCGCGGTGTTAGTAAATGGTATATATATATGATGAGTTATTGGCATCAGATGGTTGTTGATATGGTATCGGAGTCTTCGAGTTATCGAGAGAGGTCTTGTGTTGGAAGATTGGAATTTCCTATCCCATCTGCTAATTTGTTAAGCATATGGTATCCCGCGACCCGTGTGAATTTACTTCAGACCGATATATGAGTCGGTTTTCGTTTGAAAAAGAGTGTATTATTGGTAAATGGTATATAGTAAGAGGGTGGCAAACTGATAGGATTGGTGGATTGATTCATGAATGCAAATGACGCTCAAATTTTGGACAATTATACCAATTTTGAAAATTTTAGGTACTAAAAATGTCGTAATGAAAAAAAATTCACACTCAAAACTTAATTTCCAAGATATTTTTAGTCTGAAACATAAATTTTCAGGTGTCAAAATGCAAAATATGAAAAGACTAGGTGCTAAACTGCAATTTGTTATCAATCCACCAAATCACAATCCATGTATTCACCAATTCAATTCGATTTGCAGATCAAATAGATTCAACTCGAATGGATTGGATTAAATTGGATATTATAGTGTGAATGGATTGGATCGTTGGATTTGAGTACTCTAGTTGAGACACCTTTATTATATGATTTATAATTGAACATCTTTCGACAACTCGAATTATTGGGATCAAAATCATTTTCTACCGCTAAAAGAACAAGAAGGCAGAGATAGATATATGCTCTGTTTTTTTTTTTTTTTTTTTGGGGCTTACAAGTATGCGAATTTCGGTGCGTGGCCTGGTGGGGCTGCCAATTTTGAGCGGCTTGTCCGTTGAGAAAACCCTAAGCGTATGAACGCCATTTTCGAAGCTGTAACGCTCCTCCTTCTTCAGATCGTACGGCCACTGAACCTTCATATCTGATGCCGTGAGTGGAAGCGCGACGAACCCTTCCGTGGGATCAGCCATTACCAACAGCGAGGAAGACAGCAGCAGCTGATGAACAAATACCATCATTGCGACAGCTTTGACGTGGGAAAGTAGAGAAGCCATGGCCTTCTGTAAACTACTAAGAGACGGGAACAGAGAGCTTTTGAAAAGGGTAAACTGATTGAGCAACTTGACAATCACTGCTTGAGAAATGAATGAATGAATGAATAAATAAAGCTCCATTTAATACGAAGAAATGAAGGAATATCGGTTGTATGTTGTCGAGATAGGAGAATTATGTTCCCACCTTAGTGATCTAGCTAGCTGCTCAGAACTTGTGGGTTTGTCGCAAAGGATGGACTCTTTCTTTGTATTCAATCGGCCTCTGGCTCATGTGGTGGTGGTGGTGTTGACCAGTCTCTGCTGAATTTTTTTTTTTCATGAAAGAATTTGGGTTATATTACTAGAATTCTAGCGTAGTACTTATGGTAGTAATTGTTTGTGGGGTGAATGTGTAAGGAAGTGATATATTCGTTCGACTGTTGGCATCATTTGGTGGTGTTATCTCTTATATGCAGTGGTGGAGCTAGAAAATTTGAATAAGAGGGATCGTAGCGGATAGTTTACATAATCTTGTTATGTACAACTATGCATAGCTATAAACTCATTGTTAAAGAAAGGTAATTATCTTCACTTATTTTTAATGAGTTATATTACTTTTGTTTCAAGGTGCAATTTCATTTTTTTTTCTTCATAAATAAATCAGATTGAATGTAATATTCAAAATGACACCTACTTTGACATATTTTGGAACAAAACAATAGAGACATTTATTACTGGTATATACTATGTGGTAATGTTTGGTACTTGGTAGTACATAAGATGATACCACATCCACATGGTATAAAAGTATATTATAGTGGTATGAACATAGGAGAGTGTCGAATGGTTGCATACATGATGATAGGAATAAACTAAATATCATTTATATATCATCCCTTTCATCAACGTATATCACCAGTTACCATCCTATACCGAAGTGGTATAGGATGGTATATTTGGTCAGAAAATTTGTTTCCCAAAAATTTGTAGACTCAATCGATCACAATGAACTCGTTCCTTTTGGGCAAAGTTTTTCTTAATTTGAGTTAAAAACAAATGTGGTACCGGCCAGCTGATAACGAGTCATATGAATTTTTTTCTCAAAATATATTTTAAATATATAATTTTGTAGATCAAAACGAACTCATTTCATTTGTGAAAAAAATTTGAAATACAATTTAAAACAAAGAAGATAAAATCTAATTTAGAAAGATGGAAAAAAAATAAAAAAAACCCTTTAATCTCACTTCTTAGAACCGGCCCCACTTAAAATCAAGAAATTATATATGATCATGCATTCTAGGGTTATTGTCCTATATTGGACCGGGAGATATATCTACGTTTAGAGAATTTGAATTGGCGAGGAGTTAAAAAAGCTTATCAACAATTATATTCTAAAAATTATTATTATAAGTAGACTACTGCCTTTTTTTTTTTTTTCCTTACGGACCAAGACTACTGCTTAAGTACAAACAAAATAGTAACTTCGGATTTCATGAAAGAATATGGTTGTGGTTGAGTGTGGATAAGTTTTTTTTTTGGTGTGAAGAGTGTGGATAAGTTAAGTATGTATGAAGGAACTTCAATAATTTTTTAAGGAGTTATTGAGATTAGCTGGATTCATTAATAATAATTTTTTAAGGAGTTATTGAGATTAGCTGGATTCATTAATTTTTGTCTTTCGTGAACAAGATTAGTTCTTGGAATTGGCTCCTATCATTGATCTCTTTTAGTATTTCTTTTCTCTTCAACATACTATCTAGTATATCTACATTTGACAAGTCTAAAACAACATATACTCTCCACGCCAGCTAGTAAGTTTAATTAATATTGATAATTAATTTGTCAAGCTATTAATCAGACAGATCGATCCATTAAATTTCAAGTAAGGTTATTTGGAATTAAATAATCGGAACGCATTAATCCTGAATTATCCCAATCCCACTGCAATTTTGCTGTGTAGCATCCCAATCCTGAATCATCATTATTAATCCACCTGAATAGATGCTACTCCAAAGCAAAACTACCCGTTGTGACCCTATTCAAACCCAGAAGTCAAGTCACATTTTTGTACAGAACTCGAATCCCCTTCCAGCGAGACTCCATACAATCCGACATATTGTTCTGCCCGTAAACTCCAAACTTGAAGTAATGAGACTTCCCTCCATGATCCGCCACAACGAGGAGCAGAACCCCGTCGACGTACACTTCCAACGCCGCCGCCTCCACGTCGTGGATCACGTTCAGTCGGAACCACCTGTCAAAAATCTCCGGCACGATCACCGCCCTTTGGTAGTACATCAAGGAGCCATTGTACACTCTGAGCATCAAGCTCGTTGCACGTCTAGTAGCTCCGAACACTTGCATTATGCACACCCCGTTCGTGCCCTTGGGCACGTAGCCCTGCCCTTCAAACTGCCAAATACCCGAACTATAGGTATAACCCTGCATATACACATAGAGAGTCACTATCAAGATTGTCAAACCACTATCAGACCGACCAGTTGGATCAGATTCGACCGAAATTGGTCATGAGCGTGATCTCCAACAAGTCATTTTGAGTGCTAGTTGGTAGCCAGTCAACATTTGGAAAACTGGTGGATGAACCACTTTTTTTTATTTTTTATTTCCAGTTCGACGAAAAAATGTTGTTGGTTTGGAATGGAATGACCGAATGAGATGAGACTAGGATTTTAGGCTTCGTTTGGAAAATTGGAGTTGAAATCTCCAGATTATAAACAATCCAAAGATTTCAACCCTCTCGATTGTTGAAAAAAATTAAAAAATTAATTGTTTGGTAATTGAAATATTCAGAATTTAATGAAAAATATTAAATATAATTCTTTTTACCAATGACATGTTTATCCTTAACAAAAAGAAGAAGAGCCGCTTGAAAAAATATTGGGAATTAATATATCAGGGTATATATTGGGATAAAAAAAAGAGGAGATTAAGTAGGAGGGGAAAAATCTCAAAATCATGATATATATTCTCTAATTATGAGAGATTTGACATCTCTAATTTTTAGTGATTCAAAATCTTCTAAAAAATAAAATCCACGATAAAATAGCAGCAGGAAAACATTTAAACCACTTAAAAGCATGTTGGACCCCGATCACATCAAATATTGAACGTCAAAAACCACCTGCGTGCGACCGGCTCGACAACTTAAACCGATCTGATCTACTATATATACCAGAAGATCAAGAACATAAAATGGGAACGCAGAGACGACGTAATAATGGGAGTACTGCATATGAAACGGAGCATTAATTACAATCTTGATCTCCGATCTCGGGTGGGTGGTGCTGCCGTTGTAGAGCGGCTTGTCCGTCGAGTACACCCACAGGTCATGGATCCCGTCGACGAAGCTGTACCGTTGAGCTACCGGCAAGTCGAACGGCTTGTGAATTTGGTAATGAGATGTGTTGAATGGAAGCTCCGTGAATCCACAGGTTGGATCCAGAACGTCCACCACGCCGTTGACTGACGATCCCCATGTAACTACCACGAAAAGCACCGCTACCACGACTACTTGCATCGCCGGAAAAGACATCATATCGATCGGTTACAACTGTCGGAATTGATCAGGCAGCTGATGTATATATGGTTTACATGCATGGTATAGAATGAAGCAAACATTCGATGGCTGGTCTTAGGTCGGCCATTGATGATTCACGTCCGGTCAATGCGATAAAATGTTGCCCGCCGGCCGGCCGGCCGGCTGGACCTTCGTCTTTAGGTGAATAAGTTATTTCGTTATATTTACACGAGTTTTTGTAAGTTGTTGTGCATTGGCCGGGGTTTTGTACTATGTATAGTCTTGGTTTGGATTGGATAGAATCTATTTGTGTGTTTTGCTGGATGTATGGAATCTGTGGATCGGCTGCTTATTTCTGTTCGGGACACGTGTCTTTTTAAGTTAGCGTCATGTCGTTTGGTTTTGGTGATGGTTTAGGTGAGATTGTTACAGCGTGTGCATTGTTAATAATGCATCATTTTTTTTTGGTTTATTTACTTAAACAATACACCCACATAGTTTTGTTGATGCGATGGAAACTATCACTCAAAATGAGTGATGGTAATATCTCTACTAAAACTTGAGATTGTTGAGATAGGTTTTGAGGAGATTGTTGGTTTCCTTTTTGTTTCGATTATCCCCCTAGTTATATATGTATGTTCTCATAAAAGTAAGGGCAAAAGTGATATTTTCCACAAAAAGTACAGAACAATCACCAAAACCAGATAATGTAACGTACATTACCTCTTTTTTTTTTTTTTTAATTACATGTATATTACAATATATACATTGATTACAATGCATTGATTTAAGTATCATCAAAACCAAACGAACTTAAAGTGTTGAATGGGAGTTTTTAGTTTATTAGCAAGCCTATTAAGGTAATTAATTGGTATAAATATACAAACTATAAATACGTAAATTATACTAGTCAGACCAAATAAAAGTATACAAACGGGTATTAAAATGTGTACAATTAAATTATAAAAGTATTTAAACTAATAATATACCATAATACAAACCGAATTTTAAAAGCATATAAACCAATGAAACAAAAATATTCAAATTAGATCATAAAAATATTTGAAAAAGGTTATAAAGGTAGTCATTTTACTTTTCAGATTCAGGGTTCGAGTTTGTGGTTGGGTCGATTATTGGGTTGGTTTGCGGGTTGGATAGGGAAGGGTGACATGACGGGCAAATTTGACGTGGTGGGTCGGGTAGTCATTTTTAGGGTTAAAATATGATGACTGTGATTTTCTGTTAGCCACGTCATCACTTAACGGTCGTCATTAACGGAGGTTAACCGAGAGTGACCGAACTTGGATTGTTCAACTAATTTAAGTGACTACTAATGGAATAAACCAATTTTAGTAACCAAACGTGAAATTTTGTAGCAATTCGAGTGACAAATTTTGCTTCAAGACATTAATTGTAAGAGGACACTAATAATTTCTCTACTTCTTCGATCTTAGATCCCTCTTTCTTGATCATTTGTAATTAGAGGACACTAATTAAGTCGAAGCCGTTGCATTTTTGTACAGAATGCGGACGTCCTTCCATCGAGCCTCCATGTAATACGACATGTCGTCCTGCCCGTAAACCCCAAGCTTGAAGAAATGCGTCGTCCCGCCGCGGCCAGGCGCCTGGTAGAGGAGCACCCCGTCGACGTACACTTCCAGCAGCGCCGCCGCCACGTGGTGGATCACGTTCACCCGAAACCACCGGTCGAAGATGCTCGGAACCAGCACCGGCGATCTGTAGTACGTCAGCGAACCGTTGTACACTCTCAGCATCAGCGTCGTCCGGTGTCCCACCTCGCCGCTACCTCCGAACACCTGCAAGATGCACGCGCCGTTGGTTCCGTTGGGCACGAACGCCTGCCCTTCGATCTGCCATATCCCAGAATTGTAGACGTAGCCCTGCAGAAATTCGATCCGTGATCAGTGTGGCGAATTTGAATAGAAAATTAGATAGCGCGTAAACAATAATGTATATGATAAGCATATAGTTTTTGTTACGATGTCAATTGTACACAGTACACGCAATCAGGGGCGGAGCCACGATTTAACTTTCGAGTAGGTCGAGATTCTCTTGATATGTTACCGCAAAAGGCTAAAATTCTATTAAACAAAAACTCATTCTACGTTATTCCATATTAAATTCAATATAAATCAGGAAACTATTTTGATAACTAAAGGCGAATGTCTACCAATATAATTGTTTGGAACAAAATTTATTCATTGTATATTAAAAATAACATCAAAATTGAAGAATTTAATTGATCTAATTTCAAATTAAATAATTAACTAACATAATGTGAAAATTTAAGGCAAAATACCCTTGCATAGCCAAAACTTTCACCTTTGTGCCACTTATAGCCACATTTGGCGAAATACCACTAATAGCAACTTCCGTCCGATTCTTTAACACCGTTAACGTTAAGTGTGACTGGGCAAACGGAATGGCTTACGTGTCAAGCCTGCGTTTTACACGTGGATAATAATTAATAAAAAAAACAAAATCCCTAATGTTTTCACCGTCGTCGTTTTCTACTTTCTATCTACTCCTTCGTTTTCCCCTCAGTCGAATTCACCCACCCATCTTCGAAGGCGACGAAGCGACGAAGGCAGTTCAGTCGACGAAGGCGGCGAAGTCAACGAAGGCGACGATCTGCCTCCGACGACCAGCGTACCCAAAAACCTCCACCATCTGCCTTCCTTCCCCCACCATCGAAATTCCCAAAAACATCCAGTCCCGATTTTTTCTCCAGTCCCGATTTTTCCTCCTTCGATAAAAATATCCTTGCATCTAATGGGTTGACCAACCGGCGGCGAGCTATGGCGGAGTCCTTCGAAGCTTGTTTTGTGTTGTTTGCTTTGAAGGAATAGCGGAATCGACCCTTGCAATTCGCGATTTGACTGGGTTCATCGAAACCCTAATCGCACTTGAAAGGGGGATTTTTGCTCCCACTCTTATGTCGCGACTGGTAAGGTTCTGTTCTTGCTTTGTTACTGTGGTTGTGGATTGTGGGGTGAAGGAGAAGTCGCGATTTCGGGGTCGCGAATCTCTCTGGGAAGGAGAAGTCGCGATTTCGGGAAGAAGGAAGAAGCACCGAGTCAGAGCATACTAGAAGAAGATTTGGGGGAGAGGAGTAAGCTCCGATCAAGATTCGTGTATCTCCTTCGTGGGGAAGAGGAACGATCGGGAAGAACCCTAATTTTTCGATTTCCAGAAAGAGATGGAGAAGATTTGGAAGCCTCGACACTCGACAGATCAGGTATATGGGGATTTTTTTTTAATAAATTAATTATTAAGCTGACGTGTCAATTTTTGCCTAGCTGTCGCTGATGTGGTTGATGATTTGGCGCCTCGTCAGCCAACCGTCAAATAAGTTGACGGAGTTATTAATACCATCAAAGTTTCTAACGGAAATGGCTATATCTGGCACACAACATCTTTCAAAAGTGGCTATTAGTGGTATTTTGGCAAATGTGGCTATAAGTGGCACAAAGGTGAAAGTTTTGGCTATGCAAGTGTATTTTGCCAAAATTTAAACATTTGATCGAATTGTTTAGTTAAATAAAAACAGAAAGGGCGTATAAGAGCACTATTCCACTAGACTACGTGCATTTTCGTGTTACTACTTTTCACGTTGATTGATTTTATACAAATAATTAAGTTTATACATCTAATCCCGAACTTTTTAGATGTAACTTTCAAGATTCTCGGAAAGGTCGGAGCCCCCCCAAGACTGTTGTCGCCCATACACGCGATCGTCTATTAATTTAGCAAATTCATCAATGAGGACGTTTCTTCTCCTCATGTCAGGGTACCCCAATATACCAAAGGCGGGTCTTCTATAGCTTGATTTAATTGGACCGGCCACTTTATCTTATAGGGTTGGTTCAAAATAAAATAATTAGGGTTAGAATTTTTAGGTTATAGACTTAGAGCACTGGTTTGGATATATGTTCTTTTAGGCCGAAAATCTACATTAATCGAAAAGTTCATAAGCGTTGTATTAGTTCTGGACTCATATGAGGGCTAGACTGTGGCCTGGAAGAGGCCTTCTAGATCCCTCATCAGTGGAGGAGCTAGGTTGAAACGAGGAAAGGGCTATAGCCCCCTCAAATAAAAAATGTAGATAAATTTACATGTAAAATTCGCAACAGATTACGAAAATAGAGTAGTCAGTAAGGAGGCCCTAGCTAGCCCACCCCCCCCCCCCCCCTCCGATTATCATGGATTCAACTCAGGCCCCCCCTCATCCGGATTCCTGCAGGCTCCTCCCATTGTCTGTCGCTCCATGATTAACGCATAAACCACCACTCCATATAGCCGTTTTAAGGGGAGATCATGATGCAAGTATAAATTGTTAAGATTCATACATGGATCTCTCCATATATTCTGCTCATCACCACCGTAACTTATGTTTGAATCGACCGTTTGCGGAGATTCGAACATATACGCGCCCAGTACTTGGCCATACGAGGTTCTGATACTATATCATAATTAAATAAGCTGATCTCAATAACTCGAGTAGTTGATATGACGTTATGTTATACTTACACTGATCATGAGCTCCGTTCTTGGCTTGGTAGGGCTGCCTCTGCGGTACGGCTTGTCGGTGGCGTAGACCCAGAGCCGGTGGACTCCCCCGGCGAAGCTGTAGCGTTGGGTCTCCGGCAGGTCGTATGGCTTGTGGAGATGGTAGTAGGAAGTGTTGAATGGTAGGTCTGTGAACCCTAAAGTCGTGTCCACCTCATCAGCTCTGCAACTAATCATCATCATCATTACCCAGCTGATCATCGTCAACAACAGAACAGCAACTCCCATGCGACGACGAGAGTACATTTCGGTAGCGCCGGTGAAACTCGAGACCAGCTGCAATTGCTTCTGCAACGGTATAGTTTTCCACGCAAATACATGCTTCTTTTTTATATATATGATTGTGACCATTGGCATTGTTTGGTCTTCGGTCAATCGTTCCACGCAATGTGATGGAAATTTTGGCCGGCGCATATATAACTCGTCAGCCGTCCGTCTTATTGGATTATCAACTCTTCTGCTGTCTTGTCTCGGAAATCGTAGCGAAAATGGACACTCGGGGGGATTATCGACATAAACTAAGGTAAATGGATTAACAATTTCGGTAGGGATTACGTTGTGGAAACTAATTCCTCGCTAAATTGGTACGGAGCGGTTCACAGTTAGGGCTGTCAAAACGGTTTCGGGTTTTCGGTTTAACCCGAACCCGAACCGCCAGCATTTGTCTGTGGGTTCGGTTTTTCGGTTTCAGCCCGAGAATGTACATGTCGGTTTCATAAACCCGAAACCCGATAGGGAACCCGAAAAACCGAACAGTTGCTTAGTTCCTATGGTGACGTTTTCATTGTAGGGATCTTTCGCAGTTTCATAGCGCACGGCATCGCCAGTCGCCACCACACACACCCATCGGCCATCGCCAACCCTACCCCCTGCAGACTGCAGCGCAGTCAGAGACTCCCCCTGTCGCCGGCGAACTCAATCGTTCATTCAAGAATCAAGATCGAAGCTTCCCCCGTCGGGGGTCGACGCCGGCGCATCTGGGTATCGCAACCCTTTTCCGATATGGTTTTAGAGTTCCCTGTCTTCGTCGATTCCTCTCCTGGCTTCATCGTTTTCAGTTTTAATTTCTACAGGTCTCAAGCCCTTTGAAGCTTCGACAAAGGAGACGCCACCGCTTCGCAGTTCGCACTTCGCCATGGAATCCCAGTGAGTCTCTTCGAACAATTCTTCTATTGCTTCAATTTATTACTGGGTTCTTGTTAGTTGTTACCGTAGCTAAGTTAGTGTAATTGGGAATTCAGTTTGCCCTGGGCTTAGTTAGTGTTCAGTGCTCTGTTTTCGTTTCCCCTGCCTGTTGTTCTGGAAGTAGAGTGTAATTGGGAATTCAGTTTTAAAAAGGGGCATCTCCTTTCTTCTCTACTCATCTTTGTTATCACAGTGGTAGGATGGGTAAGCATTGTAGTGATTGAAGCTCTTATGGATTAATTAGTTGGTATATGTTCTTGATTTTGGATGGTATTGGTGTGAACAATGCCGGATAGAAATTCGTCTCATTTGATTGTGTTTGCCAGAGTACGTGAAACAGAAAACGGGATTATAAAGTTTTTTGTTTCTTTTTGAGTGACGTTCTGGAGTGGTAACAACGACGATGGACGAGTTTGGGAATCCAATCCAACTCCTGAAGCGGATAGAAGATGTCGCGCGGTCATTGGTTTCCATTGTTTCCAAGCGGGAGCTACTTTCTGGACGCTGTTGTTGGAGAGGCGAGGAAGCTAACGAGATTGAATCCCAGAAGAGTGTTCATCTTTGCAACACAAGCAAAATCGCGGTTATTTCTCGGTTTTTTGTACCCGAAACCCGCAAAGCATCTGGTCGGTTTCGGTTTCGGGTTGGCAGGGTCCGGTTTTGGTTTCTCGGTTTTGTGCGGTTTTCGGGTTCGGTTACCCGACCCGACCCGACCCGACAGCCCTATTCACAGTGGGTGGTTAATCTGCGGTTTGACATCTATCCATTTATAAATGACTCGAATGGTAGTGGGGTGAGTGGACTGCGGGTTTGATAAGTTTCCTGCCCGTGCACTTATTCGGGTGGGTCGGGGGTGGATTGCATTGAATAGTCTGTGTATTCTGACCTAACTAGTAATTAGGGATGACAAACAAACCCATGGCCGCGGGTACCCGACCGTCCCCAACCCAGTAAACGCGGGGAATTCCCGCTTTGACCGGGTATGGGACGGGTATGGATAAAATCCGCAAAAAGTTTGATGGGTATGAGGCGGGTATGGTTTAGCCTCCCCCGCCTCATACTCATACCCGCCCCACCAAGAGAATTTCTTCACATATGAAAAAATATGTGGATCAAATTGTAATCTATCAATGATGACGAGGATAACTCGAGAACATAAATAGTAGAAATGCAATTGAGTGGCCACACTAATCAAAACCTAATTCATTTCACTCAATTCTTCTTTCACTCTTTCACTTTCCCCCTTGTCCAGTGGCGGATACACGGGACACCCCTAAAATTTGGAAACACGATAATTCAACCTACGATAGTAATTTGCGTATGAGACAAAAATGTTTAACTGGAAGTGTGGGACACCTTTAAAATTTGGGAAAATGATTATCCAATCTCCCGTAGTAGTTTGCGTATTGGTATAAATAATATTTAAATAGTAGTTAATGTGATTTAAATTTGGGACACTATCACTATTAGTTAATATATTTTCAATTATGCTACAACTCATTTGTTATTGTGTTTTAGATCCAAATATAATAGTAAAATGTTATTCTTATCTCAAATTATTTTCAAAACCGAACGATTAAACTCAATTACAGGATATCCTTGTCTAGTAAGATATGTAGAGAGATATTTGTTGAGCAGTATAAACACCGAATGCATTTTATCATTTGATGAAACACGTCTGAAATTTTAAAGAAACTTTTATTAGTTAGATATTTTCATATTTAATAATTATATAATTTAGGTGGCTACTTCGGTGCACTCACTTTTTTGGGTGCACTCAGTGCACCCAACTCTAAAAGCGTCCATAATACATCAAATTTTGAACTTTAATTAGTACTCTCAATATAATATGATGATATGACATAGAATCATAACAAATCAATCCATTACCCTAACCCCTTAACCTTCAATTTTGAATCCCAACCCAAAATCTCAAATTGTAAACCTAAACCCTAACCCTAAATCCCTAAATCCTAAATCCTTCGAATTAAAGTAAATTTTGAATAATTTTTTTTCAAATTCATGTGCTTCTTGTTCATAATATCATAAGCAACAATTGATACCGTTTTGACATGAATCACATGGTCAGAATGACAATTATGAGGCGGGTGCACTGAGTGCACCCGAAAAAGTGGGTGCACCGAATACAACACCATATAATTTAATACTAATATTTAATTTAATTTTTTATAGAGGACACCCCTACGTAGAATTCCTGGACCCGCCAGTGCCCTTGTCAACAAGATTATATTAGTTAATTATTACTTAATAGATGTATCAGAGTTATAGCATAATAATTTGTAGGGGTGGGATTCGGTCGGTAAACGGTAAATTGTTTACCGAATTTACCGGTTTCGGTATACCGAAGTTGGTCAAATTGGTTACCGATTACCGATACCGGTTTGTAACCGGTTTACCGATTACCGAATTACCGGTAAACGGTTACAAACTGGTATTACCGAAATACCGTGAGAAGCGATTTCGGGCGGTTTTTTCGGTCGATTTACCGAACCGAATTTTTGGAAGTGGGGTGATGTTGTAATATTTTGATTTTTTTGAGTTTTTTTCATCATTTTTGTAATTAATAATTTATTATTAACTCTTATTTACAATATTTTTGAGGCCTATACTTACTTTGTTGGGATGTAAATAGTTACCCTGTTTAATTATGAGTATCATCTTATAATTAGGTAACTTAATTCCCTAATCCCCTAGGTTAAATATCCTGCAGCTAGCTTAAACGTGTAACAAGAACTTCTGGCCTTGATTTCTATTCGGCCGCCTACTAGTGAAACCCTTCTCTGGAGCTTGCTCCCGTGGATTAGTCTCGTTCATCTTGAACGGGGATACCACGTAAATTCTTGTGTTCTTTCTTTCCGCGTTATCCGATTTTACATGGTATCAGAGCTGTGATCCTTGTCAACGACTTTGATTGCGGCAATCATGGGCGAGACGAACGATAGCTCGAGCGACGGCAAGGCTGTCATCACTGGCCTCGACTCAATTCCTCTCGGCTCTCCTCTATTCCTCCATCCGTCTGAAAATCCAGGTCAGCTGTTCGGTGGTGATGTACTGACCGACCTGAACTACGGCGAATGGGCTAGCGATATGACAGAGACTCTTATCGCGAAAAACAAACTGGCGTTTGTCAATGGCACTCTGCCAAGACCGCCTTCAACTGATCTTGTCCGACTTGATGCCTGGGATCGCTGTGATGCAATGGTCAAGGGTTGGCTCAAGACGGCGATGACGAAAGAACTTCGCAACAGCGTGCGGGGTGTGCGCACGGCGCGCGAAATTTGGCTTGATCTCCGACAAAGGTTTGGAGCGGGATCCGCAGGCCGCGCATATGAATTGCGTCGGCTGATAGGTGCTCTCCGCCAGGACAAGTCGTCGGTCTCTGCGTTCTACACTCAATTGAGAACCTATTGGGACGAACTACAAACGGTCAGCGTTAACCCTCATTGCAGTTGCGGAGGTTGTCCCTGCGACGTGGCTCGCCAGGCGCGCGAGAAAGCTGAGTCAGAGCGCTTGTTCGACTTTCTGCTTGGGCTCGACGATTCCTTCGTTGTGGTTCGTTCCCAGGTTTTGGCCACCAAGCCCCTGCCCTCGCTTGCTGAAGCTTACCAGCTGGTTGCTGGGGATGAGCAACAACAACAACTCACGGCTGGACGCAGACCCACAGTGGAATCAGCCGCGTTCCAAGTTCGCGACGAGAAGCAGCCTGCCACCGCGGAGCCTGTCCGGTGCAGCCATTGTCGCAAGCTTGGTCACACCAAAGACATGTGTTACCGCTTGCATGGTTTTCCTTCCGACTCAAAGAAAGGAAAGCAAGGGGAACGTCCGGGCAGCGCGCGCAGGCAGGCTGGGGAGAACACTCCACGGGCTGCTCACGTTGACAGCGACAGCAGTCCCATCCCGGGGCTCACTGCAGCACAGTTCGCGAATTTGAAAGATTTTTTCAGCGGATCATCCACTGGACCTTCCGATCCCACCGCTCACATGGCTGGTAATTGCTCTGACCTTTCTGAATGGCTCATTGATTCCGGGTGCAATGAACATATTGTTAGAGACGCTAGCTGGCTTGATCGTGTGAATCGTAGTGGCACGTATTCCCCGGTTCGTATTCCAAATGGACGTTGTATTCCCGTAGAAGGAGTGGGTTCTGTGCGCTTACATGACCGCCTAACTCTCCACCGGGTCCTCCATGTTCCGGAATTTACATGCAACCTTCTGTCCGTTAGTCGTCTTACACAGGACCATGATGTCGGTTTGTTGTTCTTGGCTGATGTTTGTATCATTCAGGACTTACGTTCCAGGACAGTGATTGGACTGGGGAGACTGCGTGATGGCTTATATTACTTGGACCGTTCTAGCGTGGGTGCTGCCCTGGATGGTCGTGCTAGTGGAGCTTTCGCAGCTGCTGGGCGGGATGATACCGGGTTGTGGCATCATCGGCTTGGGCATCCATCTTTCGAGAAGCTTGCTTTGCTCCGGGATGCACTTAATTCTAAGAGCATTTCTTTTTCAAAAACACATTGTGACCCCTGTTTTAGGGCCAAGCAAACTCGGTCTGTTTTTCCCACTAGTTCCATTCAAACACATGTTGTTTTGACTTGATTCACATTGATATCTGGGGTGGTTATAAGACTCCTTCTTTGGATGGTTCACGTTTCTTCTTGACGGTGGTTGATGATTTTAGCCGAGCCACTTGGGTGTATTTGTTGAAATACAAGTCAGATGTCGAAAAGTATATCATTGCCTTTTGTCAGATGGTAGTTACTCAGTTCGAACGACAGGTTCGCAGAATACAGGCAGATAATGGGCTGGAGTTTCAGACTAAGACCCTTCGCACTTTCTATGATGATCGAGGCATTCTTCTTCAGACTTCGTGTGTTCACACGCCTCAGCAGAATGGGGTTGTGGAACGGAAACACCGGCACCTACTTGATACCGCGCGAGCTCTTCGTTTTCAGGCTGGTCTACCTGTACGGTTTTGGGGTGAATGTGTCTTGACTGCGACTTACTTGATTAATCGGTTGCCGTCCTCTGTTCTTGGCAACCGGACACCGTATGAGGTTCTGCTTGGTCGCGTTCCTTCTTACATGCATCTTCGTGCTTTTGGGTGCTTGGTCTACGCCAAAGATACGAGTGTTGGGTTGGATAAGTTCGCTGAACGGGGCCGGCGGTGTATTTTTGTTGGCTATCCTCTCTCCCAGAAAGGCTACCGTGTTTATGATCTCCGCCTTCGTCGCATTTACACTACACGTGATGCACATTTTGTGGAAACTGATTTCCCTTTTCTTTCCTCAGATTTGCAGCCCCAGGTACCTCTTCCACCGCCTGCTCATTTTGAGGGGGAGCTCGACCCTCTGGTTGAGGAACACGCCACTGCTGCCGATGCCCTTACCTCCAGCTTCGACGTGGGCGATCCGCCAACCTCGCCCCTGCATGGCGCGTCCCCAGGCTCCTCGCCTTTGCATGACACGTCCCCAGCGCCCTCGCCTGCTACACCGGGCTCATCCTCTTCGCCGGCTGCCGTTGACACGGATGATGCTCCGGTTCCCAGTGGCGCCTTGCCTCCTTTGCGTCGTAGTGATCGCGAGAGGCGTCCCCCCTCCAAGCTCGCCATTTACGACGTCGAGCTACCTGGAAATTCCGCCTCTCATTCGGTCACTCACCCCATCTCTAACCATGTTAGCTATCATCGGTTTTCCTACTCACACCGTGCTTTTTTGGCTGCCATCTCACAGGTCGTCGAGCCAAAGCATTTTCGCACGGCAGTGCAGCACGCTTGCTGGCGTGAAGCAATGATGAAAGAAATAATGGCTTTAGAGGCTAACAGGACATGGACTTTGGAGTTTTTGCCCCCAGGGAAGCGTGCCATCGATTCGAAGTGGGTCTACAAGATCAAGTATCATCCTGATGGCTCTGTTGAACGGTATAAGGCGCGATTGGTCGCTAAAGGCTTCACCCAGGTCGAAGGCGTCGACTTTCACGATACCTTTGCTCCCGTGGCCAAGCTGGTCACTGTTCGAGTTCTCATTGCCGTTGCTGTCAGCAAAGGGTGGCCTCTTCGTCAGTTGGATGTCAACAACGCATTCCTCCACGGCGATCTTGAGGAGGAAGTTTATATGAAGGTTCCTCTTGGCTTTGCCGCGGAGGGGGATACCCGGGTCTGTCGCCTGCGGAAGTCTCTTTACGGTCTTCGCCAAGCCTCACGGAACTGGTACAACAAGTTTACCATGGCGCTTAACGAGCTGGGTTTCGTCGCATCTAGAGCCGATCCCTCTCTCCTCATTCGCAACCGCGGTACCTCCTTTGTTGCTGCCTTGATCTATGTTGATGACGTGGTTCTCACTGGTAATGACGTCGAGCTCATTTCTCGAGTCAAAGCCTTTCTTCACGACCGGTTCAGCATCAAAGACTTGGGCCCCTTGAAATATTTTCTCGGGATTGAAGTCGCACGATCCCCTGCTGGCGTGGTTCTTAGCCAACGCAAATACGCTTTGGACATCCTCAGTGATGCGGGGGCTGCTGCCGCTCGTCCCAGTCGTTTCCCGATGGAGCAAAACCACACTCTCACCCGGTCGGCTACGAGTACGGATGCAGCGGTTGATGTTCATGCTTACCGTCGGTTGGTCGGTCGCCTATTGTATCTTACTGTGACTCGCCCCGATATCACCTATGCTGTTAACATTCTCAGCCAGTTTGTTCACGCTCCCAGTCCCGAGCATGTGGTGGCTGCTCATCGGGTTCTCCGATACCTCAAGAACTCTCCTGGTCAGGGCCTCTTTTTCCCTTCTGGTGATTCTTTGACGCTTTCTGCTTACTGTGATGCAGATTGGGGCGGCTGTCAGACGACCCGTCGTTCTACTACAGGCTACTATGTTCAGTTGGGTTCCGCTCCTGTCTCTTGGCGCACCAAAAAGCAGCGTGTGGTTGCCCGATCTTCTGCCGAGGCTGAATACAGGGCCATGGCTAGTGCCGTCAGTGAAGTTGTGTGGCTACGTTTCTTACTCACAGAACTTGGTGTTCCTCAGCCGACAGCTACCCCCTTGCACTGCGACAATCAGGCTGCTCTTCATATCGCAGCTAATCCTGTCTTCCATGAGCGGACTAAGCACGTGGAGATGGACTGTCATTTTGTTCGTGAGCGCGTTGTTACCGGCGAAGTTGCTCCCTTGAAGATCGCCTCTTCTTCACAGCTGGCGGATATTTTTACCAAAGCTCTGGGTGCTGAGCAGTTTCATTCACTTTTGTCCAAGCTGGGCATTTGTGACCTTCATGCCTCAGCTTGAGGGGGAGTGTTGGGATGTAAATAGTTACCCTGTTTAATTATGAGTATCATCTTGTAATTAGGTAACTTAATTCCCTAATCCCCTAGGTTAAATATCCTACAGCTAGCTTAAACGTGTAACAAGAACTTCTGGCCTTGATTTCTATTCGGCCGCCTACTAGTGAAACCCTTCTCTGGAGCTTGCTCCCGTGGATTAGTCTCGTTCATCTTGAACGGGGATACCACGTAAATTCTTGTGTTCTTTGTTTCCGCGTTATCCGATTTTACATACTTATATTCATGTATGTAATATTTTATATTTGTGAATAATGATGTATATGTTATATGTTAGTGGAGTAGGGAGGGGGGATTTCGGTATCGGTATTACCGATTTACCGTCGGTATTTACCGATATCGTGTCCGGTAAACCGACTCCCCCAAATTCCCGCTCTGCTGCCGATACCGCCAGTAAACGGTTTACCGTTTATCGCCGGTTACCGGTTCGATAAAACGGTAAACCGTTTACCGAATTACCGTTTACCACCCCTAATAATTTGAAAAATATTATACTCTATATTATGTATTAATGGATGTTTTAGAATCATATTCTTTGAACCGTATTAAAAAAATGATCGTGTTTTGTTGACTTCATGATATAATAAGTTCGTTTAGAGTTATACTTAAAACTTTTCTTGTAAGTTTTAGGTATAATAATGTTGGATGTACGGGGACGGGTATTACCCATGGGTACCCGAAACCCACGGGTATGAGGATGGGTTTGCAAAACATTCTCCCGCATGGGTATGAGGCGGGTATGAGTTTGGGTATTTGAAGATGGGGATGAGGATGGTTTAGACAAACCCGCCCCAAACCTGCCCCATTGCCATCCCTACTAGTAACTGCACTACACACTAACCATTGACTTCTAAGACAAGAACAAATAATATTTTAGACTAGTATTATTGGTTATTATGTTGTCTAATTTTTTATTAGATATTGTAATGCAAATTATAAAATAGTAATTGTTCAAATTTTCAAAAATGTGTAAATTTTCTCTACACAGTTGGTACTTGGTTGATAGTGTAATGAAAATTTGAAGTGTCTAAAATTGCTGCTATCTTATGAATTAATTTGCGAGGAACTTATTATAAATGTTAGCCTACTTGTGTTAATGGATAGTTGTGAAAATTGATTTTGCGAATTGACCCACAATCCAACCTCATGCGCCATCCACCCAATCTAACTCGAAGAAGAATATGAGCGAATAATGAGTCACAATTATTACAACTCGCGAATGGGTCAATTTAAAATCAAAATGTCACCCAACCCGCATATTGCGCATCCGTAACCAATTTGGACAATATGGCATGATCTAATTATGGGCTGGGCCTAACTGAATTTTGAAGTTACTAATGCGGGCCTAAAACGGGCCTCAGGTCGCGTTTCTCAGCTCCCCGCCTCCCCCAAATCCGAGAAAAATCTATTACGTGACCGTCAAATCTTTATGGAAAGAAACAAACTGGTTCACCGGCGCCAGCGGCTGTACACCGCCGCCGTGGGAGATAAAACCCTTCGTCTCGCCGGGGAAACAGAAAAGGAAAACGCAAGCGAAGGACAGCAACCACGACGGCTGGTTGCCAGCCTCTTATTTTCCGGTCCAACAGCACTGCCATCACATTCTTCCTAAATGGGCAAAAGTCAAGCCCTAAGCTCCTTCTTCCGTGCCGCGCTACAACGATCCAAAACTCCATCCGCTATCCCCGTTGCCGTTCCTCCGACCACTACGCGCAAAGTTCTGGAACTGTGCGTTTCCAAAACTCCCTCCGCTGTCCCCGTTGCCGTTCCGCCGACGACCACGGCCAAAGTTCTGGAACTTTGCGCTTCCAAAACCACCGCCGGCTCTGCCACCAAACTCCCGGCTAAAACCTTGAAGAAATGCACCACTCCTGCCCTTGAGACGGCCTCCACCGCTGCAGCCCGCTCCGTACGAATTCCCATACCATCATCGTCATCCTCGACCATCAAAGGCTCCACGAAAACCCGAAAGAAGCCCCCCCGCAAAACGAAGCAGCGTCGTCCTTCAGCTAGTTCAACGCTGCCCAATATCAAATTGGAAGCTTCCAATATCGGCTCAGGTACAGGTTGGTTTTTGCTCGGTGCTAAAATCGTATGAACGATTCTGATGGACTGTGTTCTGCCTCATGTAGATGTTCCCCCACTTGAGCTGACACGGGAGCTGGAGAGCATAATGCTGGGTATGTGTTTCATTTCCTCGTCAAATTTGGTATTGGGGGATTCTAATTTGTACTTGATTGGCGGACTGTGATGGCCCGAGCCATTTGGATATAGAGGATCCTGAGGGGTAGCAGGTAGAATTATGGTAGCACTGGTCTGCTTGCATGTCATTGGATTTGAATTGAACAAAACTAAAAGAGAATAAAATGACAGGGGAAGCTATGAATACTATAGCTGGAGAATTGACTAGAGAGCTACTAACAATCTTCAATAGCTAACGGGGGACTATATCATCATTCCGAATCAATGAACTCTCATCGTGACTTGGGGTCTGCGGAATAGCTTTACTAGTCTTTTTGTTAATCTCGTTTCAGGTCTCCCATGTGATGCTGAGGGAGCCAGTGACGAGTTATCTTCAGGAAATGTATTGGGTATCCCCTTTTTGCGGGATTTGACAAATACAGACCCTTCGCAACGGAAAGAAGAGAGCCGTTTTAGGAAAGACAAATTCATCTTCAGCTCTAGCCAGGAACACCATGTTGAGAAGATAACCAGAAGGATTGCTGAGAAGTTTGGGTCGGAGAAGACCCTGGATGTATTTGGAAAATTGGGACGAGCAACAGGCGCAAAAGAATATGATGCATTGATAAAGAGCTGTTTAAAGATAGCCAGGGAAACTAAAGACGATGAGATTATTTCCAAACAAATGTCTATGTGCTCTCATATCCTCACCATGATGATGGAGCAAGGTTTCCAGATCGAAGAAAATTCTTATGGACCTGTGCTTATGTATTTTATTGATATGAGGATGGTTCAAGAATTCGATTCTCTTCATCAAGCCATTAAAACTGGGAAACCTAGCTCTCCTGCAAGATTAGGCTACTATGAGATGTTGCGATATATCAGAGTTGGTGATGAGCAAAAGATTCAAGAACTCTGCAATATGATTTCTCTTGGTTGCGAAACTAAGAATCTCAAGGTACATGGTAAGTGGCTTATTCTTTAGCAATTTCAGAGAACTAGTCCAATTTTCTAAAGGCTTTTCCTCAATTCCTGTAAGAGTTTATATACGTCATTTTATGGTTGCAGAAAATTATTTTATAGCACTTTGTGAAAGTAACCGGAAGAACGACATTTTGCCACTGCTGGACGTTATTGATGTAACAAAATTTGAGTCAATGGAGCACATTTCCACTATCTTTAATAGCTTTGGAAGGTTGTCCCTGGAGTCCTTCACGATGAAGTTCCTTTTGGCATGCAAAAGTTGTGGTAAGTTCAGTTATCTCGTTCTTGCCCCATTATTGTCATGCATCTACCAGTGGCGCCACGTAGTAACTGCTAATTACCAAAACGAAAAGAAAGTTACCCTAATTTCTGAGAAGTATGAGAACTTTTACGGTAAGAATTTTGTGGGGCAATATTCTTGACTCGGTCATTTGTGAACTTCAACTGTTGTTTGAACTGCAATTTGGGCATGATCTTATTTGCTTTTATTATAAACAAAAAAAAGAAAAGAAAAAAGCTTCAAATGCAAGTCCCTTGGAAAACATTGTGTAGTAGGAAGGGAAATTTCTTAAAATAGTGGCAGTTGTTTAGAGCTATCAAGGACCTAAAGCATTTGTGTTTTCATTTATAGCCAGTGATGATCCCAAATATTTAACCTAAAGGGGTTGGATGTTTTTCATCTCTCTTTAAATCTAGGTTAAACTGTTGGAGTGCATTTGTTTGCAAGCTTTATAGCGAAATCTTGCCTTTCGAATGATGTGATTTCCAACTTGGTTGATTTTAAGTTCCGGCATCTTGATTCTTGACTATGTCAGTATTGGACCTATACCGATTCTTTTGGAATTGAATTTTATATAAGATCTCCACATACTATCTCAATGAGGAAAAGTTTACAGACCATATTTGATTGCTTTGGAATAGGAATAGACAGAAGCTGGTAGTGATAGTTGACTATTGACAAAAGAGGACATTAAGAAGAAAATGTTTCATTTGGTGTATATGACTGTTACTAAGGACCAAGGATGATTGTTCCCCATAAGTTTGTCAGAGTTTTGAGCCTTGTATGCAAATTAATTCTATTCCGGGTTGAATGCAGATTATGCTGCAGAGAACATATCAACTCTCGTCTGTAGTTATGCTACTGGAATTCCACATTTAGAGGTGGGGACTTCTCATGAATGCTGCTTATAATGTCCTTCTGGCCATAATGCTACGAGGTGCATCTAAAAGCAGTTCTCTTTCTATAGTTCGTTCTCTGTTTATTTCGATGTCACTTGATCGCTGATTGCATCTAAAGTCTATCGTCTATTTGTTTCATCACCGAGATGCTCTTCATTTACATTGTTATGTAGAAGAACTTCGGTTGGTCACAGTTCTATTTTAAAACCTTTTTTTACCAGGGAAGCTCAGTTTTCATTTCGTAACTAAAACACGTGCAATATCTTATGGACGCACTGAAATAAACTTACTCTCTGTCTTTATTATGACTTCATGTGTTGTTTACATTTAGAAGGTGCTGCTAATTTTGATGGGTTATTGAAGGTTGAGGATGTCAGTTTAAAGTTCAAAGAGCTGCACTCAGAGCTGGACATAAAACCTTCTATTGGTTCTTATGAGCAGCTCATAGCTTACTGCTGTGATGAACTCAAGGTATGATTATATGTTTAGCCCAATGCTATTCTCGTTTTTGATTCTCAGCTATTCAAGAACTGGATACTTGGACTCCAGTTTGCTTCCCGATACTTGGACTCTAATACTCTATGAATCAACTTATATTTCGCATTTACCTATTTTTCCAGAATTTTACCTTTTGCTGATTCTCTATTATCATTTTACAGGTTTACGTTGCTCTTGACTTGGTCAACCAAATAAACGAAGATCAATTATCCTTATCCATGGACACATTTTGTAAACTACTGGATGCCATAGATGAAAGCAGGGACTATATTCTGGTATTTGCCTAGTGACGACACTTTTTGATCATTGATATTCATTGTTTCATTACCAGTGAGAAACTTTTATGCATCAATGAGTCAGAAACTGGGGTGGAATTTGTTGCTTGGATAACTGTTTTAAGTGGATAGTTGACCATGTGATTTCAAATCTTTTCCTGGTATTTTAACCTAGATTCCATTTAGTTGCGTTTTGGAGTTGTAATGGGGCAATTTGGCATGCCGCTTCTACCTCTTTTACTTGTATAGAAAAATTTAAGTAACTTGGGTTTAAACTGGTAATATATGAATGTCTTACATGTCTTCCTTTTGTTTGTTTGACATGTCACCCTTTCAGTGATTAATTTGACCAAGTCCCTAGTGTTTGTAACTATTGGCGCTTATCTATGTAGCTTTATTTTTTTCTTGTTCACCTTAGGTTCGGAGGATGTACTCATTGTTGAGTAATCATGATTTGCAACCAACTACTGATACATTCAGGAAAATGATAACCTTGAGTGTGAGGATAAAAGACGTAAGTTCCTACCGTTTTTTGTCTGTATATGTGTACTTCTGTTATCCTAGTCTTTTACTCTTTAATTATCCTTCTCTTTTCATTGGGACTATAGTTTCTTTATTGGTCTTTTGCAATCATTTTTCAATAATGCAGTTTGACCTGGCATATGACATGCTTGAAGATCTGAAGAACAGGGGATTAAAACCTACAGCAAACATGTTTAACGTTATAATGGGAGGGTTCTTTCGGCAGGTGATTCTTCCTACCTATGCAGGTGCCCTTTACTACTAGTTGACAAATGACAATTATTGGTTAACTTTTACAAACTATTACCTTACGGAACTTTTTAGCTGTACTAGCCTGGTCAAGTTTCAAGATGGGATGTCGGAGGCTCAAGTGATAGTTTATTGAAGAAAATCAACTTTGTTTTTTTAGTTGCAAAGATACATGTCAACATGCAAATGCTAATAAGAACTTCTAATTTTGCCTGTTGACCTTGCAGCCAGTGTTGTAATTGGTAGTTTGCTCATGTGGCTTCGTTGATGCCTGGCCTGCCAAAATCCGTTCTGATTGTCAGTGTTTATGGTCTCTATATTCAATTAACTTATGGCAAAATGTTTTGCAGAAAAATGCTCATAGTGCTCTGAAGGTTCTGAAGGAAATGGAACTTGCGGATGTGAAACTTGATTCTCAAACCTACAGCTATTTGATAGGCAACTGTTGGAATGAGGATCAAATCATAAAGGTAGCATTGGTTTCTCAAATCTACAGGAATGATAAAATTAGCATATGCTTATAGCACTGGGTACGATTCATGTGGAACTCCATGTTTATTGTTTTGGGTAGTATTATGAAAAGATGCAGCTTGATGGTATTAAAGCTACAAAGCATGTTTCGATGGCGCTTGTCAATGCATATGCAGCCTTGGGACATTTTGAGAAAGCAAAACAGGTATTCATAAATGCTTTACATCAATCATATTATGTTATGTTCAGAAAAAGGAACTTCATATCTACTTGGTACACATTGATATCATGTACGGTAGGTACTCTTGGACAAAACCATTGTAGATGAGGCCCTGGATGAAGTTAAGAGCGCTCTCGTATCTGCTTTGGCATGCCATGGACAATTTTTTGATGCCTTTGGCATATACAAGGAAATTAAGGACGCCGGAAACAATATAACGTCAAAAGCTACTGTAAATCTAATTGTAAGTTTAGCTATCAAGGGAAACCAATTTTGTTTTTGGAAAATATTGCCACGTGTCCACAACTCATGACCTCTGTCATATATAATCTGTTTACTAATAGGAGCAATTTCCATCTGATGGAGAGACAAGTGAGTTACTTAAATTGTTGGAAGAAGTGCATGATTCTGAGTACCGGGTGGATGCATGTTACAGGGTTGTGTTACATTGTATTCGTAACAAGCATTCTAGGTAAACAGGAATCTACTTGCTTGGGACTGTTTTCTCTATTATCCTTCTCTTGCTGGTTAAAGCTTGGGTCTAATAATATTCTTCATAATTCCATGTACTAGCTGTCTTATTGATTTGCTGAAACAAATCGTGGAGATATTTTCCGAAGATGAAGTCGCAATGGAATTGCTATTTGATGAGGTTTGATTTGCTTGCCATTGCTACCTTGTCATCTGTTCAGAATGTACTTAGTTTGAAAATGATGGCCTTTCCAGTTATCCGTCTACTGCTGTATTGTGTTTGGTTGTCTCCAGCCTTTTCTTTCTCAATTGCATTTCATCAACTTGTTGTCGATTTCTCTAAATGTTGCAACATCGTTAACGAAATCACAATCTTCTGGTTTTTTCATATCAAAATCATGCAGTTTTTTGCAATTATTGCTGATACGGAACAACCAGACTTAGAGATGGCATTGAAGTTGCTACGAATAATCAAATCTGAACTCGGTCTCAGCCCTTCCCGTAAAAGTCTTGATTTTCTTTTGCATACATGCGGCAAGGCCAAGGACTTAGCCCATGCACGCTCCGTCTGGAAAGAGTATGAAATAGCTGGACTTCCTTACAATGTCACGAGCCATCTGAGGTACGTTGCACGATTTTCGAACCGTTAGTAGGAAAGACTCTAGATCTCTGCCTACAATGTCTCTGAACCTTCATTTTTGCTTGTGCTTGGTGCAGGATGTACCAAGTTCTTCTGGCTTGTGGAAGCCACACCGCTGCCAAAAGCTTGCTTACTAAAATACCAAAAGACGACCCTCATGTCCGTATGGTTGTTGAAGCATGTCAGGTATCTTTCAAATCTAAACCCAGAAAGTCCATTCAGGAACATCAGATAGAATCAAAACCCAGAAGTTAGAAGACAATAGTGTTAGTTAGTCTTGCCTGTAGAAATAGGAGTCCTGGCTTCAGAGCACTCAGAGATGAGATGGCAATTCTTTTAGGAGAATACTGATGGAAGCAGTAAGCCAACTGGAGCCCAGGACAGGTATAGAACAGATCAATTGACTTCCTTTCTTCTCTTATTTTAGGGAGACTTGAAGTGTGGATAGTCCCCCTAGAAAAGTCACATTATGTAATTCAGAATTCCAAACACAAGTGCTGATAACCACTTCATTAGTAAATGTTTGAGTATCGATCTTATACAATTGCCGTCCATGTTTTGTCATACGAAAGCCAATTCATGGGCTTACAGCTTGCAAATATCTAAGATATTGTTATGAATAATTTATTGATAATATAGTGATTTGCCAGGACTTAAACACAAGAGCTCTATGTGAAGCTTTGTACTAGGTTGAGAATGAATTGATTCTAATAACTCGAGTTATAGGGAGTATCGATCTTGTACCGGCAACAAAAGTATATCCTGAGCTACAAGAAATGGTTCGTTCATTTTGTTGGGGTGTTCATTTTAAGTAATTCCCAACATTTACATTTTATCATTTGGTCTCCCCATTTACCACAAACAGAACCGTTTTAAGTTTAGTGGTAATTGAAACTTGACTCAGTTTACCCGCATAAAATTTGGATGAATCAATTTGAATTGGAGGAATTGATCTGTTCTGGCCAATTACAATTGTCTGCGAATAGATAATGTGAATTGAAGGAAGTTAATTAATGTGGTGGATGAGCCAAGTTTGGCCTAACTCGAGTTCGGCGTGTTTATTGAAATCTTGACTCGTGTTTGACTCCAACTCGACTAGCTCAGTAATGAGGTCACATGTTCTAGTCGAGTAGCATATTAAAATGTATCATTATAACCATAATCAATCAATCATACACCACAATTTCATCATTTAATATAAGATTGAACTAAACTAACAAACCTACGATAAAAAAAGGCCTCCTAATATTTCGATATCTTGTGTCGGAGGGCCTTCCGGCACACCCCATTGTCGGGGCTCAATGTTATTCAATGGTAATTATCATCTACTTCATTCTATGATTTCATAATTTATCTTTTAAATTATAAATAAATCAGATATATTTGATCACATAGCCAAAATCTTACTTATTCGAGCTACTCTCACAAGACTCGCTAATTAAACAAGATTTAATTCAAAGGAGCTGAGAGTGTCCGACAAAACTGCTTCTGACAAAAGAGCCCTTCACCACCCCGCGATCCAATGCAACCTGCGCTGCTGCGCCCACCGTAAATAACTGAAAAAAAAGTAAAATCCAAAATCTCCCGCTCGCTCGCACGTACCAAACTAACCTTCCCTCCCCGCCTCGCACGTGCCGTTCTCGTGCGCCGCACCGTCTTTCTTCCAGTCCACATCACGCTAGCAGTAACAGAGACCAGCTTTCCTTCGTTTCCTTTCCTCTACTTTGTCACAGCCATCGACGCCTCTTCTTCATGTGAAAGTTTTCCTCCGATCCCTTCGCCTCCCGATCCTCCAACTTGCTGCCGGAACGCCAGAATTCTCTTGAAATTCTTCGGAAGAGTTCATCAACTTGAGCGAACTGAAACAGCCGACGATGGAGGCGATACTAGCTCGGGCGCTGGAGTACACTCTCAAGTACTGGCTGAAATCCTTCTCCAGGGACCAGTTGAAGCTTCAGGGACGGACCGTCCAGCTCTCCAATTTAGGTTTGGGCTTCGACATTTGCGTTCTTATTAGTGAATGGAGATTCAAGCTTCTACTGTTTCTTTTCTTTTTCGTGTTTCCACTGTTTATGGATTGGTGGGAAATAGCTGTTCTCGTTGGAATCCTCCGTCCCTGGAATTCTGCGTTTTCTACTGTGTAATCTTCTTACCATATCAATGGAGGTGAATTTGGAGATGTTTTCTTGATGTTCTTTTCTTTCTTTGTGAACTCTTGTGGTTTAGATATCAACGGAGACGCCTTGCACGCTAGTATGGGGCTGCCACCAGCGATTAATGTGACCAAGGCAAAAGTCGGGAAGTTCGAAATTATTGTCAGTATTCCCTTCCTTTCTCGTTGTCCTCTTTCTTTCCTGATCTCTGATTTGCTTAATTGGTTCTGGAAATTCCAACTGAACTTAGCTAGTGGCGGGAGTACGTCTGCTTGATGTTTAGCAACATACATGTTGTATATTCTGATCTGTATGATTATTTCGTGTCTTGATCTACCTATGTTTATTGAACTAATCTGTGTATGGCTTGGCAATTCCTGTTCCCCCTCAGCTGCCCTATGTGAGCAATGTGCAAACGGAACCAATCGTCGTGCAAATAGATAAGCTTGATTTGGTTTTCGAGGAGAACCGGGATTGGGATAGTTCTAGCCCTACTCAAAGGTTATGTCCCTACGGTTGATATAAATTCTGCTTTTTACTACTCAGTTTGACATCTCTGATTCTCTCTCTCTCTCTCTCCATCTTTCAGTTCAACATCTTCGTCTAGCACCAGCAAAAGTAGTGGCTATGGTTTTGCCGACAAGGTGAAGTGAATATGTTAGAAATGTATTTCCAGTATCGATTGGCCTCGCTATGGTGTATATGTGTAATGATATAATTGCTAAAGAAGAGACTGAAGGCTTGTATCACAGGTTACAGATGCCACAACTGATATCAAAGCCTTGACTTTCCTCGGAGGATCTATGGTCTTAATATTTCAAAAGTTGGAAGATGCTTGAATAAGTCCTGAAACTTGGATTCCCTAGGAATTGTTTGTATAAGTAGGCTGGATATCCACCCGTTCATCTATGATCCCTCTTCTGATGTTTGTGCACAGATGGTATCCACTTAAATAGACGGCAACGTGTAGGATTTTATAAGATTTGGAATTTCAGTTATGCTGGATGGATGTGACATTGTTTTCCTTTTCACAATGTTGAATCATCTTCTTCAATGCCAGATTGCAGATGGAATGACAATCAAGGTTAGCACTGTGAACCTTCTACTTGAGACACATGGGGGTGCTCGTCGAGGGGGAGGAGCTGCCTGGTAAGATCTTAATTGCTTATGGATTTGTTCTTTTGTCGTAACGGGAATACTTTATGTAATCCAAACTCGGAGTTGTAGTTTCCTTTTTATAATTGCTTGAACAAATTCGTCCTTGCCTTGTGCTCATTTTGTATACTCCTTTCAACCATAACTAAAATTTAAATATGACAATTGACTTAAACTCCCAACTTTCTTTTCTGACTTGCTTTTCAGGGCTCCACCGATGGCATCTATTACCATACGGAACCTTGTGCTTTATACCACTAATGAAAACTGGGAGGTACTTAACCAACTTTATTTTCATGCCTTTCTTATGTAATCTTTCCTCAATAAACCGCTTGACCAGACAGTCGTGTGTGACAGGTTGTAAATCTCAAGGACGCACGCGACTTCTCCAATGATAAAACATTCATATATGTCTTCAAGGTAGTTTGAAAGCTGCTGAAGCATGCAAACATATCGTTCCCTGTTTAATGTAGGGAGATTCTAGTAGTTGTGGTTGGTTTTCTGTTTTAAGATATTTCTAGTATTCTTTGGGGGCGAAGTTTTGTGTGTCTTTGAAGAGTGTCCATGTGAAATATCTAATTTTGCCAGTTATCTCTGCTCAACAGAAACTGGAATGGGGATCTTTATCTATCGATCTCTTGCCTCATCCTGATATGTTCACCGAAGCGAATATAGAACGCTATCAGGAGCGAAAGAACCAGAGAGATAATGATGGTGCAAAGCGAGTTTTCTTTGGTGGAGAACGATTCCTTGAAGGGATATCAGGCGAGGCTTATGTAAGATTTTTTCCTCCTACATGAAATTTACATGAATTTTACTTTGTTCTGTACTTCTTGCAGTGAACATTATCCATGTCAAACTGTGATCATATTCTTTTCCTGACAATAAGACTTGCATCAGATCACACTGCAACGGACTAATCAAAATTGTCCTCTTGGTCTGGAGGTTCAACTGCATGTTACAGAAGCTGTCTGCCCTGCACTGAGTGAACCGGGTACATGAGGCATTTGGTAGTTGCTCATTCTTTCATCAGAACCTTGTAACAAGCCGAAATGCCTGAGATGCTTTATATTCTGTTGTTTTCATCAGGACTTCGTGCCCTCCTCCGCTTCTTCACAGGGTTGTATGTGTGTCTTAACAGAGGGGACGTGGATCTTAAAGCCCAGGAGGTTCAAGTTTCTCCTGTTCTTTCACAGTGCTTTCATTGTTTATGGAAGGAATCTCCACTAACTACAGTTTCTAATGTCACCATTGCAGTCATCTACAGAAGCAGCAGGACGTTCTCTTGTATCTATTGTCGTGGACCACATATTTCTTTGCATTAAAGATGCTGGTTCGTCATTTGCTTATAATTGGTTGTCTTTCCGTTTCACTGTGCATAATCAACCTAGAGTTTTCTACTGGTATCTTTCTTCTATACATGCATGTTTCCTGCTTACTTAGCCCAGATGGTATGTAGTTGTAGAGAATGGAAAATACATGCTTTGAAAGAATAAAGTGTTCTGTGTCACTGAATAACCATTCACTTGTTTAATTTTCTTGCAGAGTTCCGGCTTGAACTTCTGATGCAGTCACTCTTATTTTCGCGGGTAGGTTTCAACCATTTTGTTAATTTGATGCATAATCGCATTGTGGAACTGTCAATTAAACACTCTTTTTCCTCACCACAACTCAATAATCAGCCATTGATGTTTGTCTTAAGATATACTAGTAGGTTCTTAGGCTTAAATAGCATTATTGGTGCTTCAATTTTGAGTGGTATGATGATATTGCTGCTGTGGCTTGGATATTGGTTTCACACTATGTGTGAATTAGAATTACTGAAATGTTTCTTGAGAAAAGCATCAAAGAGCTTCCTATTCAGAATAAGGTGTTATTAACTCATCGAATAAGGTGTTTTTCTTTTTGGAGTGAAAGTGTTCTTAGTTATGATCTGTTAAAATTGGTTTGTGTGCATTATTCCAAAATCTCACTGGAAGTTTCTTTTGCAGGCAACAGTTTCTGATGGTGAACTTGTCAAAAACTTGACCAAGGTCATGATCGGAGGACTCTTCTTGAGGTAAGCGCAGTTGAGCTACTTCTCGATCACTTGCTGGCAACAAATAGTTGCTGGTGATTGTTGAGCGAGCTCTTTGTATGTTCTATTGATATATTTGAGGATTCTCATTAAGGGTGAAAGGAAATTTTGGTTATCTGATATATTCTTACCTTTCTACTGAGAAATCCTTGTGTAAAGAACTTTCTGAACCTATCTGTTTCCTGATAAAGTTACATGGAAACCCCAAGCACCCATCCTCCTTTTAATGTCCTGCTGAGGCTCTGTCTTGAAGATTAGGCCTTATATCTATCAAAGAATTTTGAGGCATAAAACCAGAATTAGGAGAATTTACATTGAAATTAAAAGAATGAATGGCTTTGCTCCTAGATTTCCATACCTGGTGGATACACTACCAAGATGGAGTCGATATTCTTCTGACGATCATTTGAGCTGTGGTTCAAAAATCGTGAAATTTTCTATGTTTAAAGTAATAACGATGCAAGGAAAACTGTGTTCTGAATTTTGAGGGTCATGCAATAATGTTCCACCCTTTGATGACGCCATGGTCAATTCTTGCATTATCTTCTTCATTATTCCAGCATCTAACATTATTTGAGTTGGTGGAACGCAGAGATACATTTTGCCGACCTCCTTGTACTTTAGTACAACCATCCATGCTGGCTGCTGCTGAAAATGTTACGCAGATTCCTGCATTTGGTATATTACTAATAATTGCTACTCACTCTCAAAATTCTGCCGGGTCAGTTATTTTTAGCTTTAGGCATGACACTTAATGTTGAAATTTGTTGACAGCAACGAACTTCTGCCCTCCGATATATCCTCTTGAAGAGCAGCAATGGCAATTGAGTGCAGGCACTCCTTTGATTTCCCTACATTCCCTTCAAGTCCAGCCCTCCCCAGCCCCTCCTTCTTTTGCTTGTCAGACTCATATTATCTGCCAGCCTCTTACAGTATGATTTCTCAATCTCATAGTTGACACTCTTTATTCTTGGTACTGGTTTTAATTATTTTGTTATTTGAATAGATTTATCTTCAAGAGGAATCATGTTTGAGGATATCTTCATTCCTGGCCGATGGTATTGTTGTCAACCCTGGGGATGTTTTGCCCGAGATATCAGTGAATTCAATGAACTTCTCGCTGAAGGAATTAGATTTTACAGTTCCCTTAGAAATGAGTGATTCAAGTACTCCTGAAAAAGATAGGAGCTATGGTGGCCAAAGTTCATTTACTGGAGCAAGGCTTCACATAGAAAACATGTTCTTCTCCGAGTCTCCTTCTCTAAAACTCAGGCTCCTGAACCTTGAGAATGATCCTGCATGCTTTTCTCTTTGGCCAGGTCAGCCTATTGATGCTAGCCAGAAAAAATGGACTGCTGGTGCCTCATGTCTTAGTTTATATCTTGAAACAACTGCTACCTTATCCGAGCTACCAAAACCTGACGAACTGACTTCAGAACTGTGGAGATGTGTTGAACTGAAAGGTGGATCAGTTGAGGTGGCTATGGTATCTCCCGATGGGAGCCCACTGACGAACATTCCTCCTCCTGGTGGTATTGTTAGGATAGGGATAGCTTGTCAGCAGTATATATCAAACACTTCAGTTGAGCAGTTATTTTTCGTCCTGGATCTTTATACATACTTCGGAAGATTTAGTGAAAAGATTGCCTTAGCTGGCAAAGAAAGTAAAGCAAAGAGAGGTCTGAGTGAATCGATAAGCCAAAGGCTAATAGATAAGGCTCCAGCTGATACTGCTGTTAGCTTGACACTGAACAAACTTGAACTCAAATTTTTGGAATCCTCTACTATAAAAGTTGAGGGAAAGCCTCTTGTTCTGTTCGTCGGGGATGATCTTTTCATTAAAGTTATTCATAGAACCCTTGGTGGTGCTGTCGCTGTTTCGTCTGCTATACAGTGGCAGAGTGTTGAGATAGACTGTGTAGAGACTGAAGATGAGTCAATGATAAGCACCGTTGAGAATGATGATTTGGTAAGTGTTAATGGATACCCTGATCTCAGAGCTGTCCTTTGGGTAAATAAGGAGACCATGCCGAAATCCAATGGTAAAAATTATGTGGTTCCTTTTCTAGATGTAAGCGTGGAACATATGATTCCTTTCAGTGAAGAGGACAGAGAGTGCCATAGTTTAGGAGTATCAGCCTGCATTTATGGTCTCCGTCTTGGTGGAGGAATGAATTATGCCGAGTCCCTGCTGCATCGGTTTGGGATACTTGGACCTGATGGTGGTCCTGGGGTGGGACTGTCTAAAGGATTAAAGAATTTATCAAGGGGCCCACTATCAAAACTTTTCAAGTCATCACCTCTTAGTGCTGAGGATGTTGATGAAGGTGCGGGCATTAAAGTTTTCATTTGTTTTATATGCCCTGCTGGTATCTTTTCCCTGTGAAATCTAAGCTTCAATGATCAAACATTTCTGTCCTCTGCAGATGGAAGTTTGGGGTGTGATAATGAAGGTGGTCTACTGCAGCTTGGAATGCCAGATGATGTTGATGTACGTGTAGAATTCAAAGACTGGTTGTTTGCTCTTGAAGGTGAAAGAGAATTAGCAGGGGGATCGTCATTTGTTGACCTAGACAATCTAGGCAGAGAGCAGAGGAGTTGGCACACTACTTTCCAGAGTTTTCTGGTTAAAGCAAAAAGTAGTCTGAAGAACGAGCTAGATGGTAAAGGAAATTCACATGTGCGGAAATATCCTGTAGATTTGGTCACAGTAAGTACTCTTTGTCTCTATTATAACATGTCTTCTCTTTCACAGGGAGCTTTCACATATGCCGAAATATTCTGTAGATTTGATCCTGTAATCTATCAGTTTTTAGCTAGGATGATCCGTGAAGCAGAAGCAATATTGCAGGATTTGCCGATGTTCAATAAAAAATGTCCTAAAAGTTAAAGAAGCATTTGCTCTAAGATGTCCTTGTTTTGTACTCCGCTCACCAATACATGCCCTAACTAGCTGTGGACGTCAATATGCTTTTGGTTGATTGGTACTGCTTCGATCATAGTTATATTATACAACGGTTAAATGAGCACGGAACTGAAGCCATTAATGTGTACAGTTAATTGTCTTTGAGCTAAGGGGGTGGGGGTACGGATTGAAGCCTGCTATGCTAATTTATGTCGTGCATAACCTTTTCCTTGTTACCTTCAAAGAAAATTCATCCATCTTGCTCTTGTATGCTCGTTCACTATATTAGCATTTTGCCTCTCTTGTAGGTTGGCGTGGAAGGGTTACAGATACTGAAGCCACATTCTCAAAAACAATTTAGAGTTTCTGAAAATGGAGTTGAAGAAGTTGTCCAGTCACCTGGAGGGTTAGAATTTGAGGTTAGTTTGGTGATGCCAGAGGAAGCTGATGATGATGACGATTATCATATGGACAACTGGGAAGCAGAGAACGTCAAGTTCTCTGTCAAGCAACCGGTACTTACTTTTTCATTGAGTTTTAACTCTCTGCTCATCATTGCTATTATCGTTCCTAAGAATATACCCACTACTATCGTGGTTTTCTACTGTATTGCAGATTCAGGCTGTTGTTACCAAAGATGAGCTCCAGCATCTTGCATTCTTGTGTAAATCAGAGTTGGATGCCATGGGCAGGATTACTGCTGGCATCCTGAGGCTCCTGAAGCTGGAGCGCTCCATCGGTCTGGCTGCCATCGACCAGCTTAGCAATCTTGGTAAGAGACTAGGAACTGTGTATTTTGTATCTTCAATCAGCCTCTGAAAGCCTAAATTCTCACTTATTCCGAACGTACCTTTGTGCTACTGCTAATTATAGGAAGTGAGGGCTTTGAAAGGATTTTCACTCCAGAAAGGCTAAGCAGAGTTGGTAGCCCTCACAGCTTTGCAACCATGCCACCATTGAATCTGAGCAATGGCACCATGGATGAGAGGAAAGCAGAATCTACAGTTTGTTTGCTGGAGGAAGCAGTGGAAGATTCACAAGCTAAATGCGCAGCCATTATGAACAACTTGTCAAGCCCCGAGTCGTCAGTTCAGAATATTTCAGATATTATTCAGGTATGTCAGAACCTTGAAAGCATGAAGAATTTGCTGATGCAATTACGGACTCAGATTTAGTCACACCGGGGGCATTTCCCAGTACTGTACAGTTTTGTGATAAAAAAAACGGGTTCAATAGAACAGAGCTCGGCATTACACACTTGATTCTTCAATTTTTTGCTGTACATATAGAGAATCGGCAATAGATTGGTGTTCCTCACATGCTGCTTTCTGGAGCCTTAAACACTCAGAGCCTTGTTGTATGCATTCCTAAGCCTAGTATGCAAAACTGCGAACCTGATCAAATGAAACTCAGCTTGAATCTGCATTTGAATGAAACTTACTTTGATCTGAACTAGATCGAAGTCGTTGGAGAGATTCATTAGTTTCAAGGCAGTCTAGTGTTGCTGTCATTTGCTAGTTAATGTGTGTAGATTTGGTGTGAACCAGACTGAACTGAAATACTCCATATCCGGCTCTTAGCTTCCGATTTTTGGAACGAATATGTCGAGTGGAGTGCTCCATCTTCCAACCAAAGTAAAAGATGAAGAGCAAAAGGATTACAAGGAAAAGTAGTGAAAATGACCAACTGGGACAATGCTACAATAGTGATTACTAATAGCTATTTTACAACAACAGAGAAAATGGTAGCCTCGATTGCGGAAACTATCCTTGTTCATATCCCCCACACCTTTCTGTTTTAATTGAAAGATGCAAACAGTGACGCGTTCGAATTCCTACACTACACTTGGGAAGATGACGATGAAGATGATGAGGATACTGCATCCCAGCGCCATATTGTTCCATCCTCGCAGCAGCTAAGGATGGTGCTGCATTCAGGCAAGCATGCAAGATTAAACGAAACTCTTCGAGCTGCAAGATTCAAATAATATTATGCCAAACACTTGATAAAATCATTAAGATGTACCTGCCATCAAAAGACATTGCGGTCTGTCTAATTGGAGATTTGGATTGAGCATGAGAGAGTCTGATCAAGAAACACAAAATTTCGAAGTCACATTTGTCTGCTGCGATTCAGTTCTATAATGTAGAAGTTGGCATTTTGTTGCTGTAATCTTACAAACCTTGCTATAAGACTGGGGGGACTGGTTTGCAGCTCCCAGACAAAGATCTTCCCCTCTCTGTTCCCTGTAAACAGCCAGCGGAGTGTGTGAATCATTGATCAGCCGTGGAATTTATGCTTACCTTAGTGAAATACAAGGGAAGAAGAAAGTTGTCATGTATGCATACCTATGGCAGCAGCATTATAGTGGAAGTCGCACGAGAACTTGATGAACCAAATGTCACATTCTGGAACAGGGTATTTTTGAAGGATGTCCACCGTCCCCTGTACAAAAATTCTGAGTTATAAGAAAATAGCAAACACTGAACATTCAACATTCGTCATCAGGAATAACTCATGAAGTGCTCTAGTATGCGGTTCATGGATCTGAAATCTGATAATGTTGAAACTTCTAAATAGATGTTTATCAATCTCACCTCTCCGGGAGACTGATCCTTCGTTCTCGGTTCCCACAACACAATCTCATTGTCAACACTCTGCATTGGACGGGTAAATTACTCCAAGTGAGGACATACATGGAGTGTATTTCTATTTACCAACAATTGTAAATGTCGTCGCAGTGTTCTATGCATATCTGGTGACAACCACATGAGACATTTCACACCAATTGGAATTCTAAACTGACACACCACCCCATCACTTTTGACTTGTTAATTGCATTGGATGGGGCTTGATGCTTCATACTGCAAGTGCTAATTCTACCCGCTCTCAATTTTAGTTCATAGAAATACAACGTGGGATCAAGCGACATTCTTACCTTTGAAAGGACAAAATCTCCAAGCCACCGGTTACAATCAACATAGTTTGAGTGAACTGAAGCTATGAAGACCTGAAAATCGGAAAGTAGCTTCATTAGTATGTGAGCACTCTTGATCTTCTACACTGAAGGACAAAATCAAGGAGGCTGCATCTTGTATATAGAGACTAAAATAAAAACAGCAAGTAGTAGTCTCTCACCGGAAACTGCACATATTTGGTGGGGAACTTCGAAGGAAGGTCTGTCCACGTGAATGATTTTTCGACAGACGGCCAAAACTCTGGAAAAATGTTAAACCAACACTACACATTAACAGGAACTAAATTGCAAACAGGCAATCAAATTTTCACAGCATTATCCATTCCACAACTTGTTCCGTGAAACATGTCTACCATTCATCGAGGAGATTGTGTTTGTGCCTACCTTTCATTGACCAAATCTTCACAGTGTTATCCATTCCACAACTTGCTATGCGATACATATCTGAAGGATGGAAGTCCTGCAGAGATAGCCACAAATTTAGTTATCCCAATCAGGTTATCCATGAAATGAAAATTCCACATAGAAATATACTTACGACACTTAAAACTTCGTTCCGATGACCCCCAGCTCCAGCAAATATGAGAATGCAAACTCCGGTATGAACATTCCACAGGCGAACTGACTCGTCCTGCTCCAACCTCAGTTGTTTTGTCAAGAAGCCCAGAAAAGAAAAAAAGAGGAAACAAAAAGAAAACTCGATGATAGTAATACTCACTTTACTTGCTGATACCACAAGTGAAGGTTTTAGTGGCTGAGTCCTTATTTCATTTACTGAGTCCCCATGACCTACAAAGCTCTGCTCATACAAGTGAAAGAATGCAAGTGGACAAAAGATAGCACATAGTTACTAAGACTTGAAATACAACAGGTTCTACAAACTTCCAGCTATAACTATAAATGCATTCGAAAACGGATTTATACATTTAACCATTTCCAAGCGACTTCACCTAGAGCTCATGGTCTAAGAGTTCTGAGAATGAGGGGCAAAACTCAACGACCAGCAAACATATGTTTAGATTTCCTTGCTTGCAGTTCCATGGCAGTGAGTTCTTACAGAAAGGCCAGTAGCTACCAGTTGATTTCTACATAAAAAACTCCCCATTGCATACCTTGTCTATCTTTTCGTGGCCAGCATCTATAACACGGATGATCCCATTGATTCCGCCAGCAACAACAAATGGGGATCCATCGCGATTGCACGCCCAGGTCACCGTGTAGAAGGATTCATCCTTCTGATCTACAAAGCAAATGGAAAGTTCCAGGAGTGCTTCAATGATACAATCCAGCGCGCAACACTAAATACGAAATATGAAAACTAGTATGCATACAGTTCTTACATCCTCATCGACATAAGACTGTAACACAGCTATAACTCCTCCTTCAAGGCATTGGTAGACAGTCACCTGAAACACCAATCTTATTAAACCCTCAAAAAGACAGGCGCCGGAAGACTAAATATGAAACACCCAGCAGAGAGCTAAATTCACATAAAGTTCGAGCCTTTCTAGCACACATTACGTAGATTTGACTTTGATTCGTTGACAAAATGATGATAAACCCTAGTCAATTAAAAGACAGAGGAGTAATGCAAGTTGGGTTCGGTAAAGAAAATAACTTTCAGAAGCTGCGGGGAAATCGTGACGCACCCGATTGCCGCCGACGGTGGCGAAGACGTTGAAGTAACGAGAGTCAATGAAGTTGAAGACGACGGCGTAGAGAGGACGTTTGCCCTCTTGGAGACGGTTGGTGACCCTGTAGTCTCTTTTCTTCGAGGGAACGAGAGACCCGATAACTGGCTCGCACCCTAAAGGAATCCTGGCCATGGTCGCCGGCAGATTCACTGAGCTAAATCACTGTCCGCCGGTGGCGTCGATTTGAAGAGCTGGAACAACAAAAGCTAATGCGGAGGAGGAACATTGGGTAGAACGAGTGTGAGAACTGAGAAGCAAAAGAGAACATTGGGCCCAATTATTCTCCTTTTAAATTTAAAGGGAATCAAAAGCCCAATTTCGTGGACCTGAAAAGCCCAACTAGTAATTAATTACCCAATTACGTGTGATGCAAGTGGGTTGACTTGGTCAATGTCGGTTTGACGAGACGCGTCCAATTTAAACGCGTATTACTTGCGCATTACGCTACATGGGTAAAGCGGAAAATATAACCGACTGTCCAACGTTATTCTTCAGCTTGCTGAGCTTCTCCTGTTTAGAGGCGCGTCCGAAGTGAGATCTTGCCGCAAAAGTGGTCGCCGGCGGGTTGCTTCCTTGGAATCGTTTCTAGTGGCGAGTAGAGAGTAGTGGTGCCTCTCTGACTCTGAGACCGTAGTGTCCGCTCGATCAATGTCGGTAATTTGCAGCGGATGACCGACGGTAGGGTTTCATGGTGTTTATCGGTGAGGGGATCATAATACTCTTCTTCTAATCGCTCCTTGTCTTTGCTCTTCTATGCTTATCTAGATTTTGCGGAGACCCGTTCTGTCGCTTGCTGCAAAATTTTGATCGATATCGTTGAAACCTAAGAATCTGCGATTTATTTGTTTCGTGAGCCCTAATTCTGACGGCTTTAAGATACACGAGTTGTGGCTGCGTCTTTTTCTTCTCATATAGAAATTGTGGGTGATCCATTCAAGAAATCTGTAGAAGTTATGGGAACGCGGGTAATTGTGGTGCGATTTTCATATACGGTCTGTTTGTTGGGTTCTTTGACAGTAACAAGAGTCGGTGGTTAGGGTTTTTCTATTGATCAGGCCAGTTAGGGTTTGAGTGCAGCCATGTTCGTGTGCTCGTTGATGATATAACCTTGCAAGTCCTTGCGGTATACATTTAAGTAAAGAAGGTCGAGTGTTTTCCTCACTATGATATATATTACATGAGTGGGGCGGTCCATTTTGTCATTTTGTCGCTTGGAGGTGAAATCATTTCTCTAGTATAACTTCTTATGTCCCTTCTCTGTTGCCTATAAATTTTTTTCTGGATGGCCATTTTGTCATTTTGTCGCTTGGAGGTGAAATCATTTCTCTAGTATAACTTCTTATGTCCCTTCTCTGTTGCCTATAAATTTTTTTCTGGATGGGAAATCTCAGAGTTGCGCCTTAATTTGCTTATGAGCGCACTAGCTGCGATAACTATCTTTTGCTGTACTAGCCTAATATCTAATATTGTTGTTGGTTGATGATGCCTGGTCATGCCTATTCGGTTGTTTCCGTTGCCATCTGGTTGCCCTATATTTCTGCACATATTAAATTGTTTCATTCAAGTTCTGCCAGTTGTAATAGATAAAGTGAATCTGAACTCTGCAATGTTCATTCAATCAGTTGCCTCCTCGTGTTACGTTGTAGTCTGGTGACCCGAATATGTTGCCATCTTGGTCTAAGTTGAAGCGATGGTTTAGCAACTATAGTTACCTTTCTGCTCTATCTTTTTCTGAATGGAGTCCTAGATGGGAGCTTTGGAATGGTTAATAGAAACTAAGTACAAGCATGGGTTGGAGACCATGTTTGAGAAAGAAAGCTATTCCGAAAGTTGTGTCCCATTTTTCCTATAATTGAAGTTGTCCCTAACCATTCCAGCTGCCCTTCTGCTCTATCATATTCAGTGAATGTCTTAACTAGAGTCCTAGATGCGAACTTTGGAATGATTAAATACTGACGGGGAAAGCACATGGATTGGTGGCCATGTTTGAGTAACAATGTTGTGTGTCCGAAATGTCAGCCTTTATTTAATCATTCCAGTTGCCCTTCTGCTCTAGTTGTGTCCCATTGTTCCTATAATTGAAGTTGTCCCTAACTATTCCAGCTGCCTTTCTACTCCATCCTATTCAGTAAATGCCTTAACAAGAGTCCTAGATGGGAACTTTGGAATGATCAAATATTGACTGTGAAAATACATGAATTGGTGGCCATGTTTAAGTAACAATGTTGTATGTCCGAAATGCCAGCAATTATTTAATCATTCCAGTTGCCCTTCTGCTCTATCCCGTGAATACAGAGTCCTAGAAGGTAACTTTGGAGTTAGTGATTCCAACTGAATATACATGGACTGGTGACCATGTTGTTGCTCTAAATGTTGTGTCCCTCTGCTCTATCTTGTGAAGAAAAGGTCATACATGGACTGGTAGTCATGTTGTTGCTCTGAATCTTGTGTCCCTTTGTGTGTTATTTTGAGATAATGTTTGTTAACTGAAAATAACTAGTAGGAATCCTAGAGGGGGGAACTTTTTCAATGATTACTATGAAATTACTGTCCATTATGTCGAGTTGCGTGTTATTCTGTTGCATATCTTCTGCTGGGTTATTCAGCTGTTAATGTTTCCAAGTCTGACACGGAATTATGGCTGGAATGTGCTCGAATCTATGGAGGAATTGGCTCGACTGCATTTGTTTAGCTTAGCATTATTAAGGAGACTACCTACCCTGTCAAAGCTGGGGGAACGTGTGCATTATCTAGATTTTAAGGAGACCTGTTCTGTCCCTTGATGCAAATTTATGTTCGATATCATTGAAACCACTTGTTTGGCTAAAAGGATTCAGAATCTGCAATTTACTTGCTTTGTGAGCTTTAATTCTGACGGCTTTAAGAAGCACGAGTTGTGGCTCCGTCTTTTTTCTTCGGATACAGAAATTGTGGGTGTTCTATTTAGGGAATTTGCAGAAGTTATGGGAACACGGGTAATTGGTGGTCCGATTTTCATGTACGGTCTGTTTGTTGAGTTCTTTGACAGTAACAAGAGTCAGTGTTTAGGATTTTTCTATTGATCAAGCCAGTTAGGATTAGAGTGCAGCCATGTTTGTGCGCTCGTTGATGATATAATATAACCTTGCAAGTCTTTTGGGTATACATTTACGTAGAGAAAGTTAGAAGGCAGTCAAATGTTTATTGACTATTATAAATTACAAGTCCATGCTGTCGTTTCGCCTCTTGGAGATGAAATCCTTTATATGGTATAATCCCTAAAGACCCTTCTCTGTTGCCTAGACTCTTATAATCCGAATGGAAAATCTCAGAGTTGTGCCTTAATTTGCTTAGCGACACACTAGTTGCCATAACTTGTGGTTTATAATGCTTGATTATTCCTGTTCGGTTGTTTCTGTTGCCACATGGTTGCCCTATATTTCCGCACATATTAAATTGTTTCATTCAAGTTCTGCCAATTGTAATAGATAAAGTGAATCTGAACTCTGCAATGTTATTCAATCAGTTGCCTCCTCGTGTTACGTTGTAGTCTGGTGACCCACAAATATTTGTTGCCATCTTGGTCTAAGTTGAAGCGATGGTTAAGCGACTATAGTTGCCTTTCTGGTCTATCTTTTTATGAATGGAGTCCTAGATGGGAGCTTTGGAATGGTTAATAGAAACTAAGTACATGCATGGATTGGAGGCCATGTTTGAGAAAGAAAGTTGTTCCAAAAGCTATGCCCCATTTTTCCTATAATTGAAGTTGTCCCTAACCATTCCAGCTGTCCTTCTGCTCTATCCTATGCAGTGAATGCCTTAACTAGTCATAGATGTGAACTTCAGAATGATTAAATACTGGTTGAGAAAGTATATTGATTGGTGTCCATGTTTGAGTAACAATGTTGTATGTCCGAAATGCCAGCAATTATTTAATCACTCCAGTTGCCCTTCTGCTCTATCCTGTGAAACCAAGTCTTATATAGAATCCTAGAAGTTACTTTGGATTTAGTGATTCCACCTGAATATACATGGACTGGTGACCATGTTGTTGCTCTAAATATTGTGTCCCTCTGCTCTATCTTGTGAAAAAAAGGTCATAAATAGGGTCCTAGAAAGGGTACTTTGGAGCGAGTGATACTAACCAAGATATACATGGACTGGTGGTCATGTTGTTGCTCTGAATCTTGTGTCCCTTTGCGTGTTATTTTGAAATAATCATGACTGTTTGTTAACTGAAAAGAACTAGTAGAAATCCTAGAGGGGTGAACTTTTTCAATGATTACTATGGAAATACTGTCCATTATGTCAGGTTGCGTGTTATTGTGCTGCATATCTTCTGTTGGATTGTTCAACTGTTAATGTTTCCAAGTCTCACACATTACAGCTAGAATGTGCTCAAATCTATGGAATAATTGGCTCGACTGCATTTGTTCGACTTGGCCTTAATAAGGAGACTACCTGCCCTTTCAAAGTTGGGGAATGTGTGCATTAGTTTTACATGCATTTGAAGCGAAGAAGTTTGTAGAATCTTCAAGCATTATGTTGCAGAGAGTCCATGGAGAGTACTTTGATGTTGCTACTATTAGTCCAAACCCAAGTGAAGTGAAGCATTTTAGTTCCCTTTTTTGAAGCCATGAGATTGCTTGTCCAGTTTCCAACTATTCTTATGGGCATCGCTATACATGTTTGAGTGCATTTCTTCTTTTGAAAGTTGAAAGAAATTCTATTCTCTAACCTGCAATCGATGATCACAGGTTTAATGGTGCCTTATCTCTTGAACTGTCTAATGATCATCATATTATGCTTATCATCCACCGCAAGATTGCCCTGGTACTGGGACAATGGGTTTCTGAGGTAGCTACTGTTCAACTACACATCTGTAGTTGTTCTCTCCCCGTGTACCATGTGGATTTTTGGCCTGAACATAATCACCTGTGACATTATGACATGCTACCTTGGTACAGCAGTTGAACTGAAGGGACAAGTTGATACTTTTGAAATCAATAATGTATAGATACGTTTCTGGTTAGCATTGGAGGAATTTACCACCTTATGCTACAAAGTTTGTGCCAACATGTTGGGAAACTCGTATAGTTTGGGAATTTGGAATCGTTGATGAATTCGTGTTATACTTGAATGCGCTGATGTATTCCCACTTACTAGCAGATTAAGGATGAAACAAAAAGACCTGTGTGTTGTGGATTAATCAGAGATTGCTGCAAGCCAAGCACCTGTCGGCCAAAGTATGGTTCTTCAGATCTCTGTGAT